TTCAGCTGACCCCCCAGATGCGCATAGAGCACATTGGTCCCCTCGGGAATCTCCCCCTTCCGAATCATATCCATCATCCCGGCCAGGCTCTTCCCCTCATACACGGGATCCGTGATAAACGCCTCGGTCCGCGCCCCAAACTTGATCGCCTCGATAGTCTGCGCATCCGGCAGGCCGTACGTCCCCGCGTGGTACCGGTCATCCAGCACAATATCCGCCTCGGTGACGTCGCCCTTGTCAAGCCCAATCTTGACGGCCGTGTTCTTCGCGATCCGCAGCACCTGCTCAAACGTCTGCGGCACCTTGGCTGACGCGTCGATCCCCACCACCCGCCTCTTGCGGCCGCCCAGCTTCTCCACCAGCTTAAACCCAGCCACCATCCCCGCCATGGTCGACCCAGTCACAGCACACACAATAACCGTATCAAAAAACACGCCCAGCTCACTCTCCTGCGCCACGACCTCAAACGCCCAGCGCGCGAAGCCCAGCCCGCCCAGCGGGTGGTCCGACGCGCCGGCAGGGATGTAATAGGGCCTGCGGCCGGCGGCGGCGAGCTCGTCCTTGAGGCCGGCGAGGGTGGGCTTGTGCTCGATGCCGAAGCCGGCCGGGTCGAGGCGCACGTCGGCGCCCATGAGGCGCGACAGCTGGATGTTGCCGACCGCCTCGTAGCCGGCGTCGGTCCAGTCGACCCAGTGCTCCTGCACCAGGGCGACGCGCAGCCCCAGCTTGGGCCGCCGCAGCGGCCACCTGCCGCGTGTGGTTGGACTGCACGCCGCCGATGCTGACGAGTGTGTCGCAGCCTTGGGCGAGAGCGTCTGGGAGAAGGTATCTATTTTTTGGGGGGAGGGGAAGGGTAAGGGGTTAGTGGTGGTGGTGGGGGGTGAGGGTGAGGGAGTGGGCTCTCCTCACTCGAGTTTGCGCGTCTTGTTGCCCCCGTAAGCGAGACCGGAGTTGCAGTCCTCGCGTTTGGCGTAGACGTTGACCTTGCCACCGAGGGCTTGGGAGATGCGGGGGAGGTGTTGGATTGGGGAGGGGCCGAAGGTGAGGACTTCACGCGGGATGCTCGCGAAGGGCTCGGGAAGCTTGACGGCGGCCATCTTAGGGGGAGGAAGTGAAGAGTAAGGTGGTAGCGTGTTGTGATTATGAGACGAGAAATGGAGTGATGACAGGATGTTCAAGGAGACAATCTCACCGTTGAGAGGGGCTCTGAGGGGTCAAATGTACGGTCAGGGGTTGAGGCTTGTCTTGGTAGTGTAGTTGCTTGGTTGCTTACTCCTCTCCATCTACCGGCACTACAGCCCCTCTTTCCCCAAGTGGGACGATTTCTTGATCAACCCGGTATGTATGTGCTCCGCACGTGCTGATATGTGAATCCAAGAGTTGGCATAACGGAAGAGGGTCCTGTGTGGGGACAACAACTGAACTAACGAGTCCGAAGGTGTGCACACTGGCGGGGAAGGCCAAGGCACATCCGCCGAAGTCAACTACCTAATCAGGATGATGCTAGATTTATAACATGGCGCGAGGACTGCTCGGCACGCAAGGCGAATGAGAAGAGAGCAAATTGGCATTTCTGCCTTCAGTCTCGGGTGTCCGGGAACGGGTACCCGTCACGGTGACAGGGGGGCGGCGCGGCAACTCGGGGCATGCTATGTAAGCCACCGGCACCCGTCCTCAACCACGCAATGCTCAGCAACTTCGCCTTCCTGTTTAAACAGGCATACTTTCCTTACTTTTTAGGCATCTTGACGTTGAGAACGTTTATGAGTCACCCGGCACGACGTGCCGGCCTCAAAAGAGGGGAGAAGGTTGTGCATTCACCACAGGCCATCCTCTGTCCTCATCCTGTTTGGCTCTCCCAGGCGGGGTCGAAGGACGATCTCACTTGACCGTGAATGCTATCCAGTTCAGAGGCCGGTTTCCTCTGATTCACGAGCCATGGACCAGTCATGTTCCATGTTGCTGGTGACACACCCCATTCTTCGAATGCCCACTCAGCCATCGGCGATAGGCCGTCAAATTCCTTTAGGGGTGATTCGAACAAGAGGAGCCTGGGCAGTGTTCGGTGTGTGTCTCCCATCTCACGCCCAACGTGTGTGCCGTGCCTGCGGTTCGACCACTATGCGACTGGCTTGCAGGGTGGTGGTGTTGGTGTTGGTGCTCCGCAGGGCGTCCATGCTGTTGGCCCTTGCTCTGGGTCTCACGACAGCGTCCTTTGCTCCTGGTTGTGTGGTCGTTCTGGAGTCCTAGAGGGTCGGTCCTGGACCGCCTTGCGGGGTTGAGGCCTGCATGGGAAGTCGCAGGCAGCCCATCCGTCCTAAACACGAAAACTGGTGACGATATGCCGGTGTCGAGCTCGACGTTGCCACACCAAGCAATATCCCCGAATATTCGCAATTCGCTAACACATTTGGCCTTGGTTGCCTGGCCGACTTCAGCGGTTCCCGATGCGGCTGCGAACCTTGCCCAAAGAGGCCGCGCCTAAGAGCGGGAGGGAGGGACTCAAGAGACCCCTGGCCCTTGATGCGACCGTTGGGGAAGGCAATGCGAATCCTGGGAGGGGTGAGGCTGATCTTAAAAGAGAAAAACGAACCGCAATGGTCGGCCGTCCGTGATTTGGGGTTTTCGAGGCCTCGATGGTCCGCAGCCTGTTCATGCAAGGCTGCAAGCGCCAACCCAAACCCTCGGCCTGGTGAGTCACGGCGCGTGGCTGCCTCACCAAAGCCCTCACAAGGGTGCGTCAGGTCCCGGTATTGCCCCATCGAGTCATCCTGGGTTGCCTGTCGTCGGGGGAAAAATACTAAAAGACCCGGCGCGCACACATGCAACCGCCATGCTGATGAATGTCTTGAATTAATCGGGTGAACTTGAAGAATAGAAGTTCGAGGAAGGAGTCGTCATCCGAAGTCACAGCCCGAAAACTAAGACATCACGAAAGATTACTCAGCGGGCTTTTGGCTTCTCTTGAACCCGATCACGTGTGCTGTCCACGCAAGCAACAAGGATAGTAAGTAAAGCGCGCCCCCACTTCGATTCGCCCCACGACTGCGCCCAAAAGCTGAGCCTCGTTTTTGAACTTGCACCTCAATTTTCAGGCAAATCTCTAACCTCGTGGGCTTCCACAATAGGAACATCGACTTTCGCCCAAGGCAAGAGCTCCCATCATTTCTACAACCGACCACGCACTTGACGCGTCTCAGCGGCAGGCTGCATACATTCCTTCCCGAGAAAGCCGCGTTCCATTTCAGGACCGAGATCGGCCATAATTTGACTTGTATTTTACCTCGAGTCTATCGACAACTACTTCGTTTTGCAATCCCCAGAGGCCCGGCGCAACCGAGCTACCGAGTTCGAATATCTGGTGCAGCGCACCGCCATCTCCGCCACCATGAGCGTCGTTTACGAACCCCGCAACTTCATCCATGATGATGGTGGATATCCTCCCATGGATGACCATCACGATCCTTCCCCGGACGCGGACCGGTTTACCGATGCCACCGATGCCGTCGTCAACGAATTGGCGACCACAGTCGCAACATTCACCGCTCCCCACTCGCAGTTCGTGGATGCGACCGAGCCCCGGCTGGATCTGCCCGTTGGCGCTCCCCCCGCTACAACGACGACAGTTGTCAAGGAAGACTCACCTACAGCGACAACACCTCAGCGCATCAAGGCGATCCCCAAGCCGGATCGGGAAGTGACAAGGAATGTGGAGGGCAGGTATATTTGTACTTGGCCCGGCTGCGCCGAAGAGCCAAAAGAGTTCGTTCGCAAATGCGAATGGAAGTAAGTCTTTCCCCCGAAATCGTTGCGAAAATACGTGCGTCGAGACTGATTTTTGCGATAAGTAAACACATGGACAAACATGATCGGCCTTACAAATGCGCCGCATCAGGATGCGAGAAGCTCCCCGGCTTCACATATTCCGGCGGCCTACTGCGACATGAGCGCGAGGTCCACGGCAAGCACGGCGGGCCCAAGAACTCGTTTTACTGCCCGCACCCCAACTGCAAGCGCCATTCGGGCAAGGGCTTCTCGCGCCAAGAGAACCTCAACGAGCACATGCGCCGCGTGCACACGCAAAACGGGACCGCGCTCAACGGCGCCGAGGGCGAGACGGACGATGGCGCAAGCGACCACGCGCTCGCAGCCGGCCAGAAGCGCAAGCGTGACGACCGGGCCAACGATGCCGACATGCGCGAGGAAATCAAGCGCGTGCGGCAGGAGAACGAGGAGCTGCGGCGCCAAGTGCAGGCGCAAACCCAGCAGACGGTGATCATGATGCAAAAAATCGCACACCTCCAGCGAGCTCTGGAGACGCAGATGCCCACTGCGGTGCCCACCGCGCCGATGGCGACCGCGACGATGATTTAGGAAGCATCAGGCGCCGACATCGGCACCGACGGCTTACCCAACGAGTATCATCATTACCATTACGAGAGCTCATATCCGAGCCCCATGCGGGCCTAAACCGGCACTTCTCTTTCCGTCTTTGGGAATGGCATAGGTTGGGTGTTTCATCACTACTCTGGTTTTATTTTCATTTTATTTCGCACATTTGGCTTTTGCATTTGCACCAAAGATTCCCCCCTCATTCATGGCCGGGTTTGACGGCCGTTGAACGAGCGTTGCATGGACCGGGAGTTTAGGCGGTATTTACGATGATTTCAAGTTCTTATGATGGGTATATTGTATGACGGATATCGATGGTTTTGGTGGTGGGTTGGGAGTGCGGCGTTCCGGTCGGGCACTGGGGGAAAGGATACCTAGCCATGGATGCTCTCAAGGAAGGTTCGAGGATTTCTCGCAGGGGTATTCGAAGAGACAGAGATTATCCGTTGTGTTATGATTAGAAAGGGGTACAGTTGCTGCCCAGGGGCAGAGAACTTTGCTTGGAGAAGGACATCGCTAGTCGGTTACCACGCATTCCACTCGCAAACCCCGTTTTCCCTTTGCTTTTTAGCTAGGCATCAAGATACAGTCGAAGCCACCGCCTATCCCCGAACTTGTGGTGAAACTAACCATGTACCTACTCAGGCTCCAAGCTTGTCGGCAGTGTCCCGATTTCTCGCCTCGCCTTGCATGACGGAAGTCAAATTCAACATCATGGGGGTTGACGTAACGCGAGGCTTGCACCCCTGCTTCCCGTCCCTGTTGCCTGCAGCAATGCCAAATCTGCAGATCTTCGGTGAATGAAACGACGCCTCGACGCTAAGTATGTACAATTGCCTAAGGCAGGAGGCGAGTTGCCTGAGGGTACTACGGTAAGCTTTACTTGCCATGCGAGCCTGTCAGTCAGCCTGTCATAACAGCGGAAACAGTTCGCTCCACTCCGCCCTCAAATAGTTGTCCATGCCAAATACAAATAATCACCGCGGAGCCAAATGACAGGGTCTGCTGGAGCCTTCTTCCAACATCATACCCGTCACGTACTGATGCCCCGCTTTGGCGGTGTCTGCTCTTGTTTACTCGATGGGAGCGTTGTCTCGTTGATCCTTGGCCTGCTATGTAGTCATTGAATTCGAGTTCCAACGTACGGCCGGGCCGTCATCATGACGATCAGCTGTTTTAACAACGAGAGCCGTGAGACGACCAGAGATTCTGACAGAAGTCTCTAAAGAGAGGTAGCCTTCCATCCTCAAGTCGTCTCAAGCCGGTACTGCAGCTCACATCTCAAGTCAACACATCTCAAGTCGACACTGCACCTCACTGGCCGTCCACACTTTGGAAGTTCCCTGGCCCAGCCATCACCTTCTCCCAGTCTCAACTACCTTCCGCGCCTCCACCGCATTCCCAACCATGAAGGGCTTCTTTTTCGCCCTCAGCGTCGCATGCGGCATTGTCCGCGCCGCCGCCGACCCACTCGCCGACTTCGAGATCACCCCCGACCCGGGTATGCCTTCGCTCGAGTCCGTCGGCCTCAGCAAAGAGAGCTGCACAAGATGTCGCTCGAGGAGATTGCCAACCCCGGGACACACGTCAAAGCTCGCGCCATCTCTCGGATCGAACGCTCGCCGCTATTAGCCAGAGATGATATCACGAGAACCTGCTTAGACGACCATCCAGCGGAATTGTCTTGCGCCCTCTGGTGCATCCTGTACCTCAACGATCTCGGCGATACCCAGTGTGTGGCGGATGAAGGCCCGCCGTACTGGTGTGTCTGCCACAGAAACGGCTCCAAAGGGGCCACCATTTACGGCGTTTCTGGTTCGCCAATCTCGTACCCTTGCCGCTATGTTGCCGACCTGCTTTCCTGGGTCCCCAACAACCCCGATTGCCATTACCAGGGCACATGTGAAGATCCTAAGAAACGTTGTGACTGGTGTGGAGATGGTTTTAAATGTGTGGGTGGGTTTGTTCGCACGGGCGAAAAAAGGTGGGTAAAGGTCCGACAGAACTTTGGTGACAGGGTCCCGAAAGGCGAGGAATGTGTCGAGGGGGAAAAGTATGGGATTAATAAATGCGTGCTGTAGCTTTGGCGCCTCATAGGCAGTAAGAGAGCCGGGTCGGGAAGTCGGTGAGCAGTTGTGTCGGCCAGCAACATGTTCATGTTTGCTTGCCTGTGTTTGCATCGCTCTTTTTGGATATAATATAATTATGGCTTTCCCTTGACCCTTCCTAATATGCAGCCGGTGGCACACCATTTCCCTACCTCTAGCCTACCCAACCGCCCTTTCGAGAGAGCAGCATATCATTGAATCAGCCCTGTCTCGTGTTGACGGGGTAGACATGGGCCTCCAGTCTCTTCATACTACTCGGGCTGATCTCATCCGGCGCCGCCTCGGCCGATGATGACCCAGGGTCAGGTAATTCCAACCTCGCCGTGACAGACTCGCCCAACGTATCCAGCTCTTTCAAACTCCGCACCCCAGTCCCCAGGTTCCCCACCCCGTTCTCGTCCTCGCTAAACCTAACATCGTACGTCAGCAGCGCGGTGGAGGACGATTTCCACAGCGGCAGGTCCTTGGTCCGCGCGCTCTGGACCAGGATGAGCAACAAGAACGCCGCTGAGATGAGCTGCACCGCGATGGGGAGCACGATCCAGCCCCACTCAACGTCGACGAAGACCACTTGTATGATGCTCTGCCCGTTGCCCTTGACCTCCCGGCTCGCCCGCAACTGATCGGTCATGCTCTCCGCCATAGCTTGCACGGTGCGAGAGATGTTGCCCGACCGGAAGGCGTCACCCAGGCCCCCGGGCGGGGACGGCTGGCCCTCGCCGTCGAGGATATTGCCAATGAACCGCGTCGACGTGTACAACTGCGCTAGGGCCACGATATCCGGGACCCGGGCCCGTAGAACGGGGAGACCGGGTTGGTCGAACACGACCATATCTGCATTGATGCCGTTGAAGGTCAGGGTGCCCGCCTCGAGACGGACCATTTCACGGTTGCCGATGGTTAGCTTGCTGCCCGAGGACGACAAGTTGGAGTAGCGGTATGCTGCTAGTCCAACGTCGCATTCAATTATTTCCACTGTGTCCAGCGAAATGAGCCAATTCTGCTCTTCGGGCGGTGCCCTGAACACTGCAATTCGGGCAATATTAGGAGACATCGTGACGGGGTCCTGGCCGGGGCGGGGGGAAACGTCTTGGCTAGTGTTAAAGCGAGAGAGGCCGCCGACGCTGACGACTGTTTGCCATGAACTGGGTGAATAAGGCGCCTGTAGATCGACACCGCCGGGGGTAGTTAGGTTCATGTCTTCGCGGCGGCCAGCAGCAAAGCCATTCCATGTGGCAGACGCATTTGGATGACTCTGGATAGTCGCGTCCGTCACGTCGGCACAGGTGCTGGTAAAGCCAAGCGACACATATGTGCCGTTCCACTGACATTTCGAGGCGCAGTCAAAACAGCAGGAGGGTCGAGATTAAATAAACCTCTGTATACGGCTCCCTGCATCGAGTTATCGGCGGTGTAGGCTGTGAAGCAAAGAATGGAGCATTAGAAACGGCGATGCCGCAATAGAATATCTTGTGCAACCAAGCACTCACCTCTGACGTTGTAGATGGCGTTCAGCACTGATATTGGTTTCGCGCCGCCGTTGTAGGTATGTGCAAGGCCGAGGACGGCCTTTCCATCGTCGGTGGCAACATCACGCGGATTCAACTGGACCATCTGCTGAACAAAGACATCGAGGGCCAATGCGAGCAAAGTGACTATGGCCCCAATGCTCGCCAGCCCCATCGGCCGTCTGGCCAGAAGAATTAGCGACCCTAGCGGCCCCCGGCTTGCTTCTTCCAGCAGGTCAAGGTCGGTCAACTTGCGCGGCGCGCGCTTGAAGTAGAGCCACTTGTACTGGCTGATGCATGCGCCGACGCCAATGGCCGCCGTGGACTTAGCTGTCATTGCTAAGAGGGCGAGTGTGGCAGAGATGCTGAAGTAGAAGTTCCATTCGCTTGCCGGCCGGTCCATTGTCGTCACGAGTATGGCCACAATGGCGGCCATACACGCGAGACTGCTCGCCATGGTGAAGAGTTCCCACGACCAACCCCATGCTGGCGACTCGCGTCTGCTCGGTCGACCAAACCCCTGCCAAGGGAAGGTCTTTGAAGTGTCGGCCTCCATGGGCTAATGCTGTGCACTTCTCCGCCTTGTCGTGTGGGAGGACAAGGTTTTGGGGCCGCTCGGAGAATTCGGCATGAAAAAGAGTTTGCGGCTCAGCCGCTGCTGGTGGTTCACAGTACTTTTTAATGTCCCACAACCGCGAACCTTGCTTGGGGGCTGAAAGGCCGGGGGGTGGGACTCAAGCTGCAGGTCTGTCTCAAGCTCCGGACCCAACAACCAACAGCATAACATCCTCGAATCTTGATTCGACGCCCATAAATTAGCGGGCCCCTGAAATCAAGAAGAGGTAAACATGTGCTTGCCGTGCAATAATCCAAGTGCCGCGTGTCGGTTGAATACGGTCTGATCGGCAACAGCGACAAGACTTTTGTGGATTGCAGCTGGTGTTTCGTGGTGTTGTTCTCGGCTCCCCACATCCCCGATTGAAAACCACCGTCTTGATTCGCCTTGAAATATCACCAGTACTGAATCACAGAGGCGATAAGATGGTCTCAGTTTGGTCACGGAAACCACTGTCATTCTCCTGGTGGCTGTCGATCGCCGCTTGGCCGCTATCGTTCTCGACCCCTTGGTGTGCGCCGGCATTGACAACCGCCTTCTGCTGTCGAAGGGCTCGCAACTTCTCTTGATACGGAACGAGAAGCATATCGAATGGCATGGACCGACCCGGAACGGCCCGCTTCGCGCTCATGCTGTGGCCCTTGCAGGTAAGCGATCGTGCGCAGGACTGGCCGTTTGGCAGTATGACGCCGCACTGCTTCTCGACGTCGACAGGGCCATTCAGCTTTGAGGTTTTAGGCTTGGGCTCGGGTGGGGCGCCACTCGCTGATGACATCTTCGGAGGTTGGGTTGACGGAGACCAACGTGTGTCCGATCTGGCTGCAGGCAATGAGGTATTTTGTTCGATTTTGCCTCCCTTCCGACTGTTTTCGGTTGGCCCTGCGATGTTGAACAGTCCAGCCCTCAGCGCTTAAGATGACCCGAGAGTGGATCTTTTCGACCGTGACGTCTGGACCCACGCTTCAGGGCTGAAGGATGACGGGATGGAAGGCACGAACCCCGCTGTGGGGACCGCGGGGCCGATCCGAACCGAGGCCTCAATTGATGGGACGGCCGATTGTGGCCGGGTCTCACAAGAAGAACCACGAGACCGACAATTGCACTGTGAGGCGGGAACAAGGCTTGACGGCGACCCAGACCATAGTCCATCAGGCACCAACGCACCTCTTCACAAAAACGACAACGACAACGACAACAGCAACCCACAACCTCCCAAGCCCAATCAAAATGCCCCTCGAAGGAAGCGCTACTCTCCCCCCACCCCCACCCATCTCCCAACGCACCCTGCAGATATCCGGCCTCCTGGTCGATGTCTACGGCCTATCCGAGCTATCCCCCGCCACCACGCACGTCTCCTGTCTCTGGCTGCACCATCCGCGCGGCCGCCGCAAGGAGGACATGGCCGACATCGCGGCGCGGTGCGTCGGGGCGTGGAACGGTGATGATGACGGAAGGAAGAGGGCTCGGACGAGAGGGCTGCTTGCGCTGGCGTATGATCAGCGGAACCACGGGACGAGGACGGTGGATGAGGCGGCGAATGGGAGTTGGAGGGAGGGCAATCCGATGCATGCTTTGGATATGTTTGGGGTGGTGCAGGGGATGGTGGCGGATCAGAGGGTTATGCTGTAGGTTTGTTCTCGTGTGGTTTGGATGTGGCTCGGAGGTGTGTGCTAATCTCCTGCTTTGGGAAAAGAGACTTGGTCGAGGGGTACCTAGTTCACGATACAGAGGGAAAGAGGAAGATCGACCAGCATCTGGCGCTGGGGGTGTCACTCGGCGGGCATAGTGTGTGGCAACTGATGTTTGCTGAGCCGAGGGTCACGGCAGGAGTGGTAATTATTGGGTGCCCGGATTATATCAGTGAGTAACGGGCCCAAACCGACGCCGGTTTTGTTCGAATCTAACGCGTTACAGGCCTCCTAGCAGACCGCGCGAGGTTGTCGAAGCTTTCGACATATTCCGCACAGGACGCTGGCGCATCATTCATCGGCAGCAAGGACTTTCCCCCGTCTCTCGTCGACGCATGTAACAAGTTCGACCCGAAAGCCATCTTTTTTGGTGCTTCCCCAGTTCCCGACGCCGGAGCATCAACATCCAACGACGAAACGGCGGGACAGATCCTGCGCGCTCGTTTACAGGGTAAAAAGTTCCTACTGTGCTCCGGAGGTGAGGATAAGCTAGTGCCCTACCGCTGCTCTGAGCCGTTCCTGCAATGGTTCAAGCAAGCTGCCGGGTCTTGGTATAAGGAGGAGGATGTTTCGGTCGACGACAGAGTCTACCCGGGAGTCGGGCATACTTTTAGTTCGGACATGGTCACAGACTCAGTACAATTCGTTGTGGATGCGGTTGCTGATGCGGACCGACGGATCTCGGTCGGGAGTGACGAACAGAGGCCGTCCAAGATCTAAGGTAAGTAGTTCAGAAAGCTCCCCGACCATCCCATAGCTTTCGCGCCGAAAAGGATGGAGCCAGCAACGCCACCTCAGTTGGCTTTGTCGAAGAAGACAACGGTCGGCGTCGTGGTCGACTCCACGGAGCCTGTAATAGCTAGAAACCGGCCTCGATCGATGTCCCTCGTCTTTGGATATCCAGTTGGATATCTGACGCAAACAAACTATAAAGTATTTGAACCATCCGAACATCCCTACTTGCTGCTACGAGATGTCCGCCCAAGGTCTCCTCCCACCAGGAACCAACCCCTCGCCCCCACCCGGAACCGACCTGACATCAACACCACTCCTCTCCTCCTCCTCCTTCGACAAAAACAACCTCTGATCCACCGCCCAACAATTCCTCTTCGCCCTCTTCCCCCGCAACTCCTCCCCCACCCCATGCGGATCAGCCTCCCACTGGCCCAGCGCCAGCTGCACACCCTCCCAAGTCTCCTTCTTCTCCTGCTGCGCGGCCCTCGCTTCCTCCTCATCCAAACGCACGGCCTCCATCCCGGGTGCGTTGATCCCCACAAAGTCGACCCTGTGCAGCGGGAACCCGATCGCGGCGCAGTGCCCGTCCACGAGCCGGGCACGCTTGAACGAGTGCGAGACGATGCTCAGCCGCTGGGGCCAGGCGCCATGGCGGCGCCAGAAGGTGATTAGGGAGAAGAGGATGTTGTGGTACGAGTCAAGCGCCTGTTCTTCGAGAAGGATGCGGGAGGTTGTTGTTGTTGTTGTTGTTGTTGTTGTTGTTGTTGTTGTTGTTGTTGTTGTTGTTGTTGTTGTTGTGGTGGTGGGAGTGGTGGTGGTGGCGTCATCGTCATCCAAGGGGAGGAGGTCGAAGAAGCGGTTGGCGAGGGCGAGATTGTGGTAGCTGGCGGCTTCGGAGACGTTTATTTCGGGGCGGGTTGCGCCGCTACGGTTGGCTTGATTAGAGGGGAGGGAAGAGGTGGGTTGGGATGGAATGGGGTGGGACGGAGATGGGAGTGGAACAGACAAAACTCACCCGGAAAACACCAATGTTGCGTCCTGATCTTGGCTTAGAAGTTTGAGGCCAGCTTTGATGTGCTCAATGAATGTCGGTGTTTCGCCCTCTTGGAAACTTTGGATGAGCCATTCGGCCTCATCCCAGCCCATCTTGGGCCCGCCTTGCCAAACTGCATGTCCGCAGACGACGATAAGGTGTGTCGGGCTCATGGTGGGGGATGCGTGTAACAAGGGCTTGCCATGAGAATGCATTGCGTGGATTGGGGGATTGAGAGCCTATTTGAGGGAAATTAAGCGCCCAATCATGTGATACCAAGAGGAGTCGATGGTCGAGTGAAAAGAAGAACACAGTTTGACAACCTGTCTTGATCATGGATGGTTAAAGGGACATACGAGGCAGGGACATGTATATGATGCACATTGTGTTGTTTATGCTTCCCGCAACGCCCGCAGAACGCTCGAGACTAGGTAGAGGCTCCCAGCAATAACCATCGGCCGGCTCCCGGCTGCTTGGGAGGCCCATTTCAGAGCCCCTTTAACGTCGTCTCCAGCGTTGTATGTTGCCACTTTTTGTGCGCCATGTTGGGAAGCTGTTTGAAGGATTCCCACAGGGTCGGCGGCCTTGACCCAAGGCATCCCGTCAACAGACTCAAACCGGACAGCAGCAACTTGGTCGCCGGGCTTCAGTAGCAAACCCAAAATGCCATCCATGTCTTTTCCTTGGGTAGCAGCCAAGACCCAAGTAACAGGCTCGCCTTCTGAACGCAAGTGTGTCTCCACGTACCTGGCCAAGACTTCAGCCGATTGTGTATTGTGGGCGCCGTCGAGGAGGACTTCTCGCTGATCGCCCGTGATGCTTGAAACATCGAGCCTTTGCAGCCGGCCCGGCCACTGTGTCTGCATGATGGAGGGCAGGAGGTGGACCAGTGGGCGGTCCTGCTCGGGACATGCTAGGTGGAAGGCCAGGTGTGCGCAAGCCAAGTTTTGTATTTGATGTGGCTCCAACTTCTCAGTAGTCATTGCATCGGTGACACTCGTAACTGACGGGAAGCGGAGTTCCGCCCCAACCTCCCGGGCATGATCTTCGATTACCTTCAAAACGGAACGCTGATTGCTGCCGTCTACCACACAGGGAACGCCAGGGCGGATGATGCCAGCCTTTTGCAGGGCAATTTCCTCGATCGTATTGCCAAGAAAGGACTGGTGATCGAGGCCAATCTTTGAAATTATGCTGACAGCCTTCTGTTTCAGCACGTTGGTCGCGTCTAACTTGCCGCCCAAGCCGACCTCGACCACTCCGTACTCGACTTTTTGGCGATGGAAGATCTCGAACGCCGTTGCGGTCAGCAGCTCGAACTCGGTTGCGCCGATTCGGTCCTCTTTATCCCGTTGCTTGACCACCTCCTCGGCATCCCGAAACACGGCTTCTGAGACGGGCTTGCCGTCAATGGCGATGCAATCCCAACGGTCAATGAGATGGGGTGACGTGAACCGGGCGTGCGAGAGCCCGCTTGCTGTGAGCATGGTCGAGAGATAAGCGCATATCGACCCTTTGCCGTTCGTACCAGCCACATGAATAGCCTTCCACGTCTGCGGCGTGTGCTGAATGAGCCGCCCGACCCGGGCAAGCCCCAGATCGATCATGTTGGATGTGCTCAGCCTCAACTCTAAATTCCCTCCTGCAGCGCAAGGTACAACAACAGACTTTGGACGCCCCCGTTTTCAGATTAAGGCCGGTAACAGCTGGGACAAACAACCCTCGGTTTTTACTGACTACCGATTGTTTTGGTGAAGGGGGTTGGAGGTCAAGCGTGAGTCATGTCGTTCATTGGTGATGATGCTGCCCCTGCTTTGGAGTTACTGCCAAGGGATGAGCAAGTTCGCCGGAGCCTGTCGATTTTTGGCGGCCGTTGCTTCCTTGGTAGATCGGCGACAGGGGTAGCGTTACATACATAGTGCCCTTCTACAAGGGGTTAATTGCAAGTCTTCTGTTTTGTTACACACATTTATTCTGCTACATAGATCCTATGCTTTTATCAAATCTCTAGCAATGCGCAGCCTCGACCCCTGGCTGCATAACCGCGTGTTGACAGGGTCAAAAGGGACTCCGCCGCCTCCCCCGTTCATTCATTTCCTTCAGCCATCCCGCAACCAACCCCACGCAACCGGCGCGCAGGGTCAATCAAGGTCAGAAGCTTTGACGCTTTTCAACACATTTCATCCATTGTTGACCCGCGCTCTCATTTTTCTGTCGTTACTGGTCCACCATTCCGCCGCCTTCCGCTTCGCCACTTCATTTCGCAAAAAAACAACCCGAGTGTGTTTGGTTGGCGACCAGAATCGAACAGGATGGGCCTTCGGTAAGTTCCCGCCCCCAGCACCGCGCGTTACCTTATCCCACCGGCCACTTCGCGCCAGCGCGCGCCAACCCGTCGCGCAATTGCCCGAGTCGCTGCATCATCTGTTTAAGTATGCGATCTCGTTTTTGAGAGCGCAACATCCAAAAAAAATATTATCTCTTACCACTGCGTTACTACGAATCAGAACTGACTTGCGCGTCCCAATCAGATTGTACCAGCCGCCGGTTGAATCGGACATCCCATCCAAACCTCCGCTTGATAGGTCTAGACGAGCGCGGTCCAACATCCGCCGAGTACTTGACCGCAACGAGGACCGAATACGCGAACACCGCCGTCGCGTGCTGGCCGGGTACTACAACCAGGACTCGAGGCGCGAAACAACCTCGGCAGGCACCATCCCGGCCCCCCCTGCTACAACTGACAACACTGGAACGAGGTCCGGTTCCGAACATGGCCACCGTGCGCTGCGCGACGCGAGTAGGCGCCTGGGTCTCCTTGATGACCGCGCCGTAACCATGTTTGGCGAACGATGGGCGCATCTGCACGTCGACTCGAACCCGAACCCGAGCCCGCTGCGCGACGATAGTAATGATCCGGAATCTATTCTGAACATGGCGGTCGATGTCGAGTTTATGAATCGTCACAACCGCGGCAGCCAGCTACGCCTTGAGCCGACGTATGCACTGTCCAACATCAGGTCTACACAAACCCTAGGTCCGCTCGTAAGCATAACTTATCCGCCACCCGCATTGCCTGGATCTGACATGGCGCAGTCTCGAAACACGTCAAGGCCTCAATCGACCGTCTGGTCCCGCATGCGTAGGCAAAGGAGCGCCCTGAGGGACGATTTACCCTTGGGTCCGGCCCCAGCTGGACCTGACGCCTGGATGTTCGACACAGACGGCTTGGGCGATCGCAACAGGAGCCTTAGCCCGGAGGGTGACAATGGCTGGGCCACGCTACAAACCACCCTGACTCCGGACCCGCAGCCACCCAGTGTTGGATCTTCGTTTGCCTCCGCTTCCGCCGCTGCTACACAGAGCACGGCCGCTGCCTCGTCTCGGACCTCCTTCACCACGTTGGATAGGGCGGACGATCTAGAGTTGTCGTTCGAGCCTCCGTGCGAGTCCGGGTGTGATAATTCCGACACAGAGGGCGACGAGGAAGACGAGATGGGTCAAATCCCTTATATCCCTGGTTCCTCCTTTCGCCGCAGAAACGTCGATGACGACCCGGTGGAGCTTTTTGGAGGCATCGGAGGGATGCAGAGGATAGTGCGGAATCTGGCCCTGCGGGAGGACATTCCGGACGAGTGGTGGGCGGACGCTGGCCTCAGTCGGACATTATCTCGGGAGACTTCGGGCAACTGATTTTTCGACATTTGTTCGTTGTGGGGAAGCAGCACGGTTACAAAACTATGGAGTTTGGGTATTCGGGTTCCAGGACGTATGAGCTTTTTTTTTGGCGTTGGGATATGGTGCGCGCATGGGTCCTTGATGGCGGTATATCACACCCATCTCACGGTTGGAGCGTAGGCTCTTGAGATCTCTCGACCCAGCATGGGAAGGGATTGTGACACGGGAAGATCAAGTGTTAGGGATATGATTTGATCTGAGGCAAAGGTGGTTCGGTTATGGCCTCATGCAGCATCGGGATATCGCTTTTTGGCTGCTCAGAGACAACATCTACGGGTCGAGCGAGTATAGGGTTTTCGGCATATCGGGTGGATGTACGATATTCGTGCCTATGGCGATTCCAGCGGGGGAGCTCAAAGGTTTTCGGGGTGCAAGTCCCCATCCGGGCGATATTGAAGTCGGTCGATTGGATTGTGACGAGATGCTTTTAATGATGGTGAGGAACGGACCATCTGCCGAGCAATGTGTCGTATGCTGTTCCCTTGGGCGCCAGGGGCCCTTCCCTTCAGCAGACCAACATAATACTACCATGGAGCTGAGGTTGCAGCCGGCTTCCCCGCCTTCCTTGTCCGAGGATCAGTGGATGCCCGCCATGCGTTTTACAGGGCTGGCCAAAGCAACATCAGGCCCTGAAAGCATCTATCCATAAGCGGCCCGATTGCAATGGAGATGGATGGAAAGGTGGGAGCCGGCTATCGAGTACTCCCATATCGACTAGCTACTGAGGGTGCCGAGTGGAGAAATCAAGCAGGTACTCCCTCGACAATTGGCCGGGATAGCTTTAGTATATATGTGGAAGGGCCTGTCTGGGCAGAAAATTCATGTCCTTTGCCTGTCTTGCTTAAATACCTCAGGACAGCGCTGAGGTGAAGTTGTGGGAGCCTGGGACATGCCTAAAAAGACCGCTTTGGCGCGGCGGACTAGCCCACCTCAGAGGCAGACAACCACTCGGGTGGTGCAGCAACAGCTGCAATATACCCCAACCTGGGCTTAGTTCCAGCATTTTTTTGCTGCCGAACAGTTTCCATTCCGCGGTAGGTCTTGAAGTGAAACATCACGCAAAGATGAGGAGACACGCATATACGTACCGTACCGAGGTACCTACATGGATGCTCATTTCACTTTTGCTCTCTTCTGTGTTTTGTTCTCTTGTTTTGCTCCCTTGGTTGGCCCCCACCTCCTACCCATGTTGATTTCAAGCGGCCGATCTCATCTCGTTGACCCCTGTATGGTGCCTGTGCCCCGCGACCCCAGCTTGGTTTCGGTGCTGCTGCCGCCCTTGCCTTGGCCCTGGGCAACGACGGGAGTTGAAGCATACCCAACCTAAATGTTGGAATGCAAACAGCTGCTTCCTGCCCACCGATACACGATCCGATTACATCCTTTTTCCGGCCGACCACCTCCCCTCCCGACCCTTGACTTCCGTTCAAGGAACAACGACGCATTCGGGTCCACATTCCAGCGTGGTCGAGTACCCACGCGCGGGGCAGCAGCACAAGCCAGCTGAACATCCCTCTTCGGGGCACAATTCGCGATTCGGTCAGCAACTTTTTTTTTTTTTTCAGTTCGGATCTCAGACGAGATTTAGGGAATGGGCGGGACGCCGACTTCGATTTCCCGCGCGCAACCCGAGAACGAGAGAAGGAGACTTCGCAAGACGACGACCCCCGAATCCGAACCGAATCGACGACGACGAGAACCACGAGCTTCTTTTACACCGGCCACAGTGGAGGGACGAGGGCCGGGAAGGGGATTTAACCCAATCCAATCCGAACCGAGCCGAGTTTATAGTCCAGACCTCCAGGCCGGTGAATAGCGCATCACTACTACAACCACTACTACTCAGGGGACAAACTACAACAACGGACCGGCCATGGCGCCGCCGGGCTCCCGCCCTGGGAGCTCCGCACGCCCCGGGAGCGCTGGCGTGCCGTACCACCACCACCAACACCACCACCACGGCTCCGTGGGCAAGGCTGCTGTTGTGACCGCGGCCACAGCAAAATCGCCGGGGACCCCGCGCCGGGAACAGGGCCATCGGCTGGAGAAGGCCGTGGCCGTGCAGGATCCGGGGTTGAGAGACTATGTAAGTCGGGTTCTCTTGTACATCCATTTCTTGTGCCGGCTGCTGCACGGTATTTCTGGTCACATTTCTTGTTCTCGAGGGCTGGTGGTTTTGTGTGGTAGACGGAACATGCACGGCCCGTCCCTCCAGAGTTTACATGGTTGCATGTCCTGCCGGCGCACAGATGCACCGGCGATTCGCCCAATGGCTTAGCGACTGGCCTCGAGTCCTTTGTTTGGATAACACTGGGCTGCGGGAGCGGGAGCTGGGGGGATGGGATCGAAGAGATATGTGGCTGGCGACCCCCCATTTCCCCTCTGGGCCGCGGCCGGCCTGATTTGTGAGAAGTGAGACATGGCTAACGAGTGATGTTAGCGCCTCGGAGACTGTATCGGGAAGGGGGCCTTCGGGTCCGTCTACAAGGCGTTCAATTGGGGGACCGGCGAGGCAGTGGCCGTAAAGCAGATCAAATTGGTCGATGTGCCCAAGAGCGAGCTGCGCATGATCGAGGTGAGTTCAGGTCAAAGTTTGGGGGGCCACGGGGTGCGATACTGACGCTATGCAGGCAGAGATCGATCTCTTAAAGAACCTCCATGTTAGTAGCGAAAAAACGCCACCTCGGCTACAGACACGGTCGCATTGCGGGCTCGAAAAACACTAACCGGGTGACAGCATGACAATATCGTGAAATATATTGGCTTCGTCAAGACCGCAGACTGTCTCAATATCATTCTCGAGTCTGTCCGCTCAGACCTCACAGAAGCCCCGCTGTTGTGCTAATATGTCGTAGGTACTGCGAGAATGGCTCCCTGCATTCCATTTGCAAAGCCTACGGCAAGTTCCCGGAAAATTTAGTCGGTGTGTATATGACGCAAGTCCTCCAGGGCCTGCAGTATCTGCACGACCAAGGTGTTATTCACCGCGATATCAAAGGCGCCAACATTCTGACCACCAAGGATGGCACCGTCAAGCTGGCCGACTTTGGCGTTTCAACGAGCACCCTCGCCGGGCCAGACAAGGAGGCCCAGGTTGTAGGAACCCCTTACTGGATGGCCCCGGAGATCATTCAGCTCTCTGGTGCCACCTCAGCCTCGGACATCTGGAGCGTCGGATGCACCGTCATCGAGCTACTGCAAGGAAAACCACCATACCATAACCTCGCTGCAATGCCGGCATTGTTCGCCATTGTCAACGACGACCACCCCCCGCTTCCGGAGGGGGTGTCTCCGGTTTGTCCCGCCGGTTGGTGTAAATCCATGGTAATGGGTGCTGATACTTCCTGGATAGGCTGCTCGTGACTTTCTCATGCAATGTTTCCAGAAGGATCCCAACCTGCGAGTCTCGGCGAGGAAACTACAGCGGCACCCCTGGATTACTGGCTGCCGAAGAAGTGACGCACCGGTTTCGAAAGCGCCATCGAATTTCAGCCAGGCAGTTGAGGAAGTGAAGCAGTGGAACAAAGCACTTAAGTCTTCCGAAAGCAATCTTAGAACTTCAATGGGGTCAGACGCCAGTGGCCCGGGGCATCGGACAAATCTGACCAGGATGCCGTTGTCGTTGGCAACAAAGCAGAGGCCGTCGGCAGATGCCTTTCGGTCTCCCGAGCTTGCTGGTAAGCTTTAAGTTCAGTGCTTATAAGTTATTACGCTGACTCTCCCAGATGACGATAACTGGGACAACGACTTTGCGACAACCATCTCGCCGTCTGCCCTCCATCTTCCACAGATCAAGGGACAAGATAATTTTGGCGGCTTGCTATCCGGGGATCGGTTGAAAGCCTTTGCGTCTATCGACGCCCAGCGAGAGGATTCCGAGAACTGGGATTCGACCTTTGAGGGTGAGCTCATGACAATCAAGGGCTTGGGCCACTGGTCCGAAATCGACCCTCAGGAGCAGACCATCCGGCCGCCGCCCAAGAAGATGGAGAGGACACGGGAGTCTAGAATGAGGGTCCCAGAAAACCCAGGGCACAGGCGCCAGCGGAGCCGGGGAGTGCCCAACAATGCTCAGCCTAAATCCCCTGTGAAGCCACTGGGCACAAAGTTCGAGCTGCCTCCGCGCCCCGACGTCATCTACCGCGAGCAGTCGACCGAGGACTACTCCGACCTCTTTGCTGACAACGACCACGTTTTCGATAGAAGACTAAGTCTCACCAACAAGGCGAGCTTATCCCGGGCCCAAACAATTACGAAGCACCATGCTAACGATACTCAGGACGGACCCCAGCTTTTCCACCCCTCAGACCTCACTACTAGCGTTCCGAAATCCTCTCATTCCTTTACCGCCGGTAGCACGCGCCGATCAAAGGCCGCTCCGAGGCCTGCCCTCCTTTCCCCAGAACAACCTGTCCGTCGCCCCCGTGCCCGTTCCACCGTCGAGATCACCAAGTTCGCCGAGGACGAGGGCGACGAGGATTTCTCTGACATTTTCGGCGTTGCTGGCGAGGCTGTAACCGAACCGGAGGAAAGTGACCGCGGCTCGGAAACAGATGGCCAAGGCGGCCAGCTCATTCTCTCACGCCTATCCAACAACTCGTGGCTCGGGGACGATGAGGACGAAGATGATCCGTTTGCCATGATGGATCCGGGGTGGGATGAGATGGATCTGGAGGCGAATATCGCAAGGGATCGGCATGCGAGGTTGGCAGAGAGAGTGGAAGGGCTGGTGAGGAGCATGAAGATCACCGAGGGGGAGGAGGTGGTTGGGGAGTTGGCGGAGGATTTGGTAAGCTCCCTCCCTATTGAGAAGTTCAGGGCTCAGGATTAACAGGGCTGGCAGTTGGCGCTGTTGTGGGAAAATGACGAGGTTAAGGCGTTGATTATTGGCGCGCATGGTTTGCTGCCAATATTAGAGATTCTGGAGCCTTGTACGCTCAAGAGTCGGCAGCACATGATCTTACAGTTGCTCAAGATTGTTAATGCGGTAAGTTTTGTTTACTTAACCACTATTCTACATAAAAACTGACAAAAACAGATTATCCTTGACGACGTCGAGCTGCAAGAGAACCTGTGCTTCGTCGGCGGCATTCCGATTGTCACCAAGTTTGCTGCCCGCCAATACTCCAACGAGATTCGCCTCGAGGCCGCCGCCTTCGTCCGGCAAGTGTACCAGACTTCTACCCTAACACTGCAAATGTTTGTCAGCGCTGGCGGTCTCAATGTCTTGGTGGAGTTCCTCGACGAAGATTACGAGATGTCCCAAGATCTTGTTTTAATAGGAGTCAATGGCATCTGGAATGTCTTTGAGCTTCAGGGGCCAACGCCCAAGAACGACTTCTGCAGGATATTCTCGCGTAGCAAAATCTTGGATCCCCTGGCCGCAATCTTACACAAGGTCTTGGACGAGGACAGAGACGAGCTGTCGGAACTCGTGGAAGGCCGTATCGTCAACATTTTCTACCTGTTCTCTCAAGCTGAACCTTATGTCAAGGAGGCGGTTGCTGAGCGACAGGTACTGAAGAGTAGGCATCTCCCTTTTATGTGCTGTCGGACGAGCTTACTAACGGATTGCAGCGGTGCTCAAGGACCTCCGGCGGATGACGCCCTCTCACCAGATCACCATGCTCAAGTTCATCAAGAACATCTCCATGTGTTCGACTGTGCTCGACTCCCTGCATTCTGCGGACGCGATTGACTTCTTGATTGATGTTCTCAGTCTCTCGATGAAGAAGGGGCAAACCAACTTCCGAGAGATTTCCAACCAAGTGCTAAACACCATGTTTAACCTTTGCCGTCTCAGCAAAGAGCGACAGGAATATGCGGCCAGCAACGGCATCATCCCGCTTCTGCTCAAAATCATGAAGACAGACCGGCCGCCAAAAGAGTTTGTGCTACCCATCCTCTGCGACATGGCGCATTCCGGGAGTAAAGGGAGGCGCTACCTGTGGCAAAACGGCGGGCTGGACTTCTACGTTTCACTCCTAGCGGACCAGTATTGGCAGGTCACGGCATTAGACGCCATCTTTGTGTGGCTACAGGAGGAGACAGCAAAGGTGGAGAGCCACTTACTTGAGGGTAGCTTCACCGCGGCCATCATGTCCTGCTTTAACCCTACCAAGGTCAACGCTTTCGACCCCAACTTACTCGAGCCATTGCTCAAAGTTCTACGCTTGAGCCCGGCCGTAGCAGCATCCCTTGCCAAGGCCGAAATGTACGCCGGCACAGCTCAGAAACTGGGCCACAAAAAGGCCGTCGTTCGCCTCAACCTGTTGCGTCTCGTGCGTAACATCATGGACGGGTGTGAGGCAAACAACCTATCCATGTCGGCGCTTAGCACATCCGAGGCAGGCCGCCAGCTGCGCGTTCTGCTCGACGACATCCAGACACTGGCGGATAAGGATCCGGCAGTGCTTGTGAGGAATTTGGCCTCGGAAGCTCATCCCGAAGTCACATCGACGGCGAACTGCAACACGATGCAATGGCCCTCGGCAACATGGGACTAGGCGCCTCCACCAGCACGGCGTCTAGCACAGGCTCAGGCCCACGCTCACGCTCCGGCCCTCGGCGCAACACAAGCTACACCCCACCAGGGCTGCATCTCAGCCTGTCCATGCCTCCCACCCCGTCTCACGGCCACCGCATGACGCAGTCTTCATCGGCCGCGTACATCGAAATCGCCGCCACCCCGAAACGCTCAGCCATCGGCCCCACCCACGAACGCGACCCATCCTTCTACCGCCCCCGGAGCCGCGACAGCATCCCAATGCCAGCCACGAGCATCCCACGGCGCGTCTCCGACACCCCCCCATCCATCCCACCAGGAAACAGCACCCCCACCAACCCCAGCTCCACCCCAGCGCCCAAATCCCGCCTCCCGCGCACCTCCATCACACAATACACCTCGGTGCGTCCAACCCTAACAACAGCCGCCACGGCCCCGATCTCCACCCTCTCCCCAAGCACCGGTCCCAGATCAGGCGGGGGCCGCCGCGCCGGCAGCGGAGGACGTAGCGAGTCCTTCAGCCACGGCGCTGGCGGCGGCGGTGTCGGCGGTGTCGGCGGCAGCTACAAGGAGAACTACCAGACCTACCTCCAGCAGAGCCAGGCGGGTAGGATCCGCTCGGGCTCGTCGGTCACGGTCGCGAGCGTCTCCAGCGCTGGCGGCGGCGGTGGCGGTGGTGTGGGGACGCAGTACTCTGGTTCGCCGACGGGGAGTGTCATCTCTGGCGGTAGTGGTTTGATGCTGCCTGTGCCGGGGTATGGCGCCGTGGGAGGTGGTGGTGTGGTGAGAGAGAGGGAGAGGGAGGTTAGTGGTGGGAGTACGGGGTCGGGGACGGGGAGTGGGAGTGGGAGTGGGAGTGGGAGTGGGAGTGGGAGTGGGAATGGGACGGATGCTGCGAAGAGGAGGAGCCGCGCGCCGAGTGCGAGGTCGGATATGAGCTCGATTGCGGGGTCGAACGCCGGATCGGATGCGCGGTGGTCTTAGGAGGATCGCCGCGCTCAGCGGCTGGTTTCGGGTTCGAGGTCTGGTTTTGGGTTTGGTTCTGGTTCTGGTTCTGGTTCTGGTTCTGGGTCTGGGCAGCGTGGGGTGAGGGGTGCGGCGGTCGGTGTTGGTGTTGGTGTTGGTGTTGGTGTTGGTGTTGGTGTTGGCGTTGGCGTTGGCGTGAGTGTGGATGCGACGGGTAGTCCGGGTGTAAGACGGGGTTCTCCTGGCGGCGCTGTCGGGGCTATCAGGGGCAGGGGAAGGGGCGGATTGGTTCAGAGACGGTGTTGATCGGTTTTTTTTATATATTAGGCTTGCTACTACCGCGGGCTGGATGGCTGTTTGCTGGCCTGCGACATTCTTGCATGTTTTGGAGCAGGGTGGTTATCTATTCTCTCCTTCTGGTTTCGGGTTTTGGCCTCGTTTGAGAGGATGGGCAGGATTATAAAAGTGCCTCTGGCTGGGAAAGCGAGAGCAAGCCGGGCAGGGCTTGGATCCCCTCGGATAGATGTAAATTGATATTACTATGTATACCACAGATTCGTGGGTTTTCTATTGCTTTGTTTCTCTCCTCCTCCATCCAATCAATGGTCAAATAGCTCACCTTCGAAGTAAGTCAAATGAGTTTATTCCTCGATTTCTCTGATCGAAACTCACGAGCATCGAAACATGGGATGAACTCGCCAATCGCAGCGAGTCAGTTGGCCCAACTCGACGACCCGGATCGTCGGCGCGGAGGTGGCTGTGCCCCTCCCGGCCCGGCTTGCGCGGCCCACGTGCGGCCTCGACGGACGTCATCAGCTCAAGGCACCCGGCAACCTGGCATTTCAACCTCATTCATTGTCGGATTGTGCAACTGTTGTTTGTTTTTTTGTGCGACTTGATTCATCCGCTTTTTGCCTGGCTGGATCTGCTTTTACTGGCTCGGCCTTCCGTCTTATGTTTTGCGCTGTTAGATTGAAGCCTCGAATCTTGCTGCCACCATGACCCGAACCGCAGTCTACAGCACGGCGTTGGTCGCTTTGGTTGCGGGTGAGTCCGAATTACCTCCTGTCCATATCAGTTCACATCCCGAACGAGAATGCCCTTTTATATTGCTTTCGATCTCAGATGGACCCAAGCAAAAGCATGATGGCTCTCTCTCGATGATTGAGGCCGCCCCCGGCATCCAACTGGGCGGACACCCTCAGTTCATCACAAACCTACCCCTCATCTCCGTCCGAACACCTGCATCCCCACAACGGAAGTCAACACATCACTAACACCTTCACCCCCTTCCTTCCCCAACAGCAACGGTCATGACCATAACCTCCATCGTCTCCCCCAACTGGGTCTCGCTCAGCGTGCCGTCCCCCTCGGGCGGGACCGTCACCGACACCATCGGCCTGCACCGGCGGTGCGCGTCGTCGACCGGGTCGTGCGCGCCCTTCCCCGAGCCCTCGCGCTGCGACGGCAGCGACGGCGGCACCGGCCGCTCCTTCTGCTCCATGTGGCGCACCACGGGCTTCTTGATGAGCTTCGCGGTGGTTGCGGAGCTGGCGACCCTGGTTGGGTTTTTGGTGATTCTGGCGGGTGGCCGGGTGAAGAGGGAGGGTGGGTGGAAGGTCTCTGGGGGGGGTTGTTGGCTGCGGTGGCGGCGGCGCAGTTTTTGGGTATGGCGGTGGTGGTGAGTTTTCTTTGCTTTTTTGATTTTGTTTTTGCCCGTGTTATTTGTTTCGGCTGTGCTGATGATGGCGACGACTACTAGGCATATCTGTTTGACCATGATGACTTGTTCCTGGTGCCCGGATACCGGCTGGATTCATCGTGGTACCTGTGCACGGCTAGCGCGAGTGCTGCGCTGCTGGCCGGTGTTGGGTTGGCCATCTCGGCGCTTGTGCTGCCGCCGGAGGATGGGTACTCGCAGTTGTTGAATGACTCCAACGGCGTGTAGATGTCGATCCATGGGGTGGACGATTGCCTTGAGGTGATATGATGGCATGGTGACACGGTGGCATGATATGAACATTTCCTTAATGATTCCATGGTATGGCGGGCGTTCGCAGTTTGATGCTTCCATCTCTTTTTGTTGTTAAACACTCAATGGAAGCTCCGACTTTCTGATTTGAAACAAACTGGGTTAGGTTAGGTAATACGAGTAAAACACATTCAGGAATCAAACGGGATGGGGAAACACTCGACAAAGTACCATCACTACACGATATCATGCGGATACGGAATACTAGTATACTGTTGACGAAATTGCTCGTATCAGATACTCGTATGGATGGTAGAAACTGGGAAATTGGACGGCATCCGTTGGTTGGGAATGCATTCCACCTCGAATTCTTGGAATTTATATTAGCTAATACTAGTGTACGACAGCGTGCCGTGGCTCCGTTTGGGAAGCCATCACTGTGTGGCTGCTGCTGAGCACCCACCACTGTGGGGAGATGTGACCCTACCAGGGGGAAATTGTCTGGGCAAATTTTGTCAACAATCGGGGATTGGTAGCAACGATTGGTCCTTGCATGTGCAGCGGCAGTGCGCGATCGTCCGAGCAGCAGAGGTGCCGCGGTTTTGGGACCACGGGTCTTCTTCTCCCTTCTTGCCTTTTTGCTTTCTTCGCCAGCACATTCATTTTGGCTTCACCGCCCAGAAAACTGCCAGGCCACTCGGTTGTCAAGGCTTCCCTGGGCAAGCGCCCGTCGTTCTTTACGCGATACTAGTATTCGAGCAAGTCTGTTTCGGACTTCTCCTTCGGGCTTCACGTCCGCGACCAGCCCCTGAAAAATCTGGAGTATAAGGTCGCGCTCACATCGCGTCTCCGTCAAAATGTCTGCTAGATACTCTCTCAGGCAGACGCCGAGGTAAGTTGTCTTCTCACCTCACGGCACACGCGACTTCCTTGGTCGCCAGACTCCCCCAGACGCTAAACCCCTACGTAGGAAAAAGGAGCTCTTTGATGGCATGGTCGAGACTCCAGCCCGCCGCAACACCCGCCGAAAGACCCCGTTGGCCACGACTGAAGACGAAGCCGAGTCCACACCGCCTCCCGAAGTCATGGAGAGCAAGCCGTTGCGCAGGCGCACTGCGCCCAAGTTCACCGAGCACATCGACGAACTGACACCGCCTGAGACGCCCATTGACAGCGACAGCGCCGAAACGTCGTTCTCCAAGGCCAATGACAAGGAGGCCAATGGCGCGGCGGTCGAGCCGAAGAAAAGGATCTCGGACGCGGATTTCTCGGGCGAGTACGAATTCGGCGGTCCTTGGTTCGTCTCGCTCATGATGGTCGGCTTTCCCATCCTCATGTGGTACATGTGGATCGGCGCGACCTACTATGACGGTGGCTTCCCCGTCCGCACCACCGGCCAGAGCTGGGGCGACTTCGCCAGCCACCTCGTCAACCTCGTCTACACGGGTGCCTTCCCGCACACCAAGGCATGGATGATATACTGGATCTTCTTCATCGTCGAGGGCGCCTTTTACTGCTTGATGCCGGGCATCTGGGCCTACGGCAAGCCGTTGGAGCACATGGGCGGCAAGCAGCTCAAGTACTACTGCTCCGCTTACACGTCGTGGTATGCCACGCTCACCATCGTCGGTGGCCTCCACTTCTCGGGCGTGTTCCCGCTGTACACCATCATCGACGAGTTCGGCCCCCTGCTGTCCGTCTCGATCCTGTCGGGCTGGCTGGTGGCCATCGTTGCGTACGTGTCGGCTCTCGCGCGCGGCGCCCAACACCGCATGTCGGGCAACAACGTCTACGACTTCTTCATGGGCGCCGAGCTGAACCCGCGCATGTTCGGCATCCTCGACTTCAAGATGTTCTTCGAGGTGCGCATGCCGTGGTACATCCTGTTCCTGCTGTCCTGCGGCGCCGCCGCGCGCCAATGAGGACCGCTACGGCTACGTTTCGAGCGAGGTCGGCTTCCCTGATGCTCGCGCACTTCCTCTACGGCAACGCCCACGGCCAAAGAGCGAGAGAGCTCATCGTCACTACCTGGGACATGTACTACGAGAAATGGGGCTTCATGCTCATCTTCTGGAACCTGTCGGGCGTGCCGCTGTCGTACTGCCACTGCACCATCTACCTGGCCCAACCACGCGCCCGAGACGTACCGCTAGGAACCGTTGGGCGCTCGCCGCGCTGTATGTCAGCTACGTGTTCGTCTACTGGATCTGGGACAGCGCCAACAGCCAGAAGAACCGCTTCCGCTCCATGGAGCGCGGCACCCTCGTCAAGCGCAACACCTTCCCCCAGGTGCCCTGGCAGACCCTCTACAACCCCAAGACCATTGAGACCGGCCTTGGCGACAAGATCCTCGCCGACGGCTGGTACGGCATGGCCCGCAAGGTCCACTACACGTGCGATGTCTACTTTGCCACCACCTGGGGCCTGATCACCGGCTTCAACAGCCCTTTCCCCTGGTTCTACCCCGTGTTCTTCACCGTCATGATCGCCCACCGCGCGTGGCGCGACATTGCTCGCTGCAGGGAGAAGTATGGCGCGGCGTGGACCCAGTATGAGAAGCAGGTGCCGTACCTGTTTATTCCGGTAGGTTTTTGTCCATCTGTCCTTTGGAGAGATGAATGGTTGCTAATATGTTGTAGTACGTCATCTAATCTTGATGCTCTTCCGCCATCATCACATGGCAGTCCATGGATGTGGGTATGAGAGAGAAGATGCGATGGCTGCATGGAGCATTTCATACGGAGGGCGGCATTTAGGGGGTTGCAATGGATGCGATGACTGATGGATAGGATATGAGGGGGATCTAAAGGGGTACATGGACATGAACCTGGGATGCTTGAACCTGGAACGGCGTGGTCAAGCTGGGGCGCGTGGGGGTTGGCTTTCCTACCTACCTTCTACCGATCACCTTTTACTGGAAATAAAATTAATGGTAATGCTTTCAAGTTGTCTCCACTGAGTATGATGACCTGATGTGTGACAAAGTTGGTACCCCTAAACGAGCTCCCTAACACCCCCCGTGCTCAAGAACAGCGATGTACGACAGTCCCTAGGTACGGTCTCGAATTATTCGGACTGTTGGGAAAGGACCAATATAAACAGCCAAACATGGAACAGGGACAAGGACGTCATCACCAGTGCTGTCCGGCTGCTACCCCTGAGCCCTCGAATCAGAACTCAAAGACGAGGCAACAGACACGTCCAACAAGCGAGCTCCGAACCGCCGCCGGGACCGAGAAGCCCTCGGAGTGAGTGGTCGAGCCACGGCGAGAGCCCTAACTAAGAGTTGAGACAACAATCACGAGACAAAAACAAAGAGAAAAAGCCAAAAAAGATGCGCGCGCCAATCGAGGACGGGAATTGAGCCCGACGTGGGGGTCGAACCCACAACCTTGAGATTGTTTCTGATCACGTGATCCTAAGAGTCTCACGCTCTACCGATTGAGCTAGCCGGGCGCGGCTTGCTTGTGGTTGTTGAGGCCGAGGTCGTTTGGAAGAGTTTTTCTGTGCGGAGCTTTTTGGTGTTTTGGCAGGGAGACAGGGGGACAGGGTTATTTTTGATGTGGGGCCGGCATCGGTTGCTTGGTGGGGTATGTACGGCCCGGGAAGGAGCTCCTGGGGTGGTCGAGCGATGTGTTTGTGACTCGGAGCATCTACTGTACGAATACACTACCGTATCGCAGATGGGCGTATGTGCTACATTAAGGCAAATTTTGTGGACTAAGAATTTACTGTGGGAACAAGAGATAGGCAAGCTCTGATTCGGGTTTACTCTGCATATAACCATTTCAAGAAAAGAGAGGGTCGGGATGTTCTGTTGGTTCTGTGGTTTTGTTGGTTTTGTTGGTTCTACTTCTGTATGCACCTCCCTACCTCTATGTAACAAACAAAGCGTTTCCCGATTTCCCAGGTCATCAGTGCTCAGTCCCTTTCCCCTAGTATCCAGGTGAGTAAACTACCGCGATAATAATCAACCGCTGTCATGAAGTTTGGCCCAGACCTCCACCAGCACCGGGTGCCGGCGTGGGCAGACTCATACATCAACTACGATCGAATCAAATTGCTCGTGAGAATAGGTGGGGAAAAAGGTTCGTTTGGCTGTCCAATGCTCTCCTCTCATCCCGCCTTGGTCCTCGCTAACTGGAGGGTCTGTCGGACACCCTCTCCCACGAAATCGATGGGTTCAACGCGTTCTCTGCACGTCAGACCGCTGTCATCCATTTACGCATCGCCGACCTCGAGGATCGTTATGGCGTGTCGATCACCACTTCTGAGCCACCCGCATCGGAGCTTTGTCAAGTCGTGGTGCCCGAGCTGGAGGATTTACAAGCTTCGCTCGGTGACATCCAAACGGCCATCCTACAGCTGGACTGGTACAACAGGGTCAATCAGGAAGCTATACAGAGGCTTAAATACAAACAGGAACTCGTCGCTGGGAGACCGCCGCTGCACAGCAGATCATCAACGGTCGACGCCGCTAGATTGTGGGGCTCGGAACCGCTCGCTAGCCTGAACCAGTTCCGGGTCACCGTCCGTACCGCCTTGACCGCAGGCGGACCCGCACGGCACACCTCGTTACTCTCCCGGCGATGGCTCCACAAGCGGGGACTGGGCATCCCCGATGCCGCACGCCGGGCTGTAGCCACCGACGACTCCGCGGCACTGGACCATCTTCTGCACCAAGTATGTTCTGAGAAAGATCGAACCTTGTTGGCACGAGCCCTACTCCAACTTGCCGCGGTTTACAGTGCGCCCAGATGTTGCGCCTTGCTCACGCCCCTATCCGCCGGCCGTCTTGCTCATGTCAAAGAGGATGCCGACTTTCTACATCACGTCATCATTCAGATGGGCCGGCAACGAGACGCCGATTCGTCTCAGGGACTCGACCAAATACTGCGCGTCCTTCCTGAGAGCGAACGGTGGGTACTCCTTCATGCGGATGCACTCGGTCGTCTTGGTCTGCATTACGCAGCGGTTTACGGCTTGGCCGGCGTGTGCCGTCATATTTTATCGTGTATGGCTGAGTGGGGATGGTCAACTCGGCGTCGACACCAGGCCATCTTTACTTGCGATGCCGCTGGTGAAACACCTCTCGATTTGGCGGTCGACAGGGGCCATGCTGCCGTCGTGCGAGCATTGCTAGAGGCGTTGGGAGGAGATGTAGTCGAGAATGAACATGAGGAGGAGGCGATGCCGCAGCATCTCAGTAGCGGTAGGATGCCGTTGGGCCGGCTTCTTCTCACAGCCATTCAAGCCGGGTTCGAGGACGTGTTTTCGGCCCTTCTGTCAGCCGGTCTTGGGCTCCAGGACTTCCGAAACGGCAACGGGGAGACGGCCATGTATGTTGCGGCACGGCATGGTCGGGTGGGAATGGTACGAGCCCTCTTACTCGCCGCTGTTGACCCCAATTTGGCCGAGACGGTGCGTGGATGGACTCCCCTTATGATTGCCGCCATTCAGGGGCACCAGGAAGCGCTCGAGCTCCTCGTGAATGCCGCCGTAGACCAGGACGCGCGCGATCATGATCGAGGGTGGACAGCTCTCGACCACGCCGCGTATAAGGGGTATCCAGCCATGATGAAGATGCTTCGACGGCAGCCCTAGTTGGGACTCGAATTTGAGCCAGGAGGTGGTGGCTTATCTGGGAACCGGATCTTATCTACCAGTGTACCCCGTCTCGATATTAACAATTTGCCGCCGTCCGCTTCCTCGCCCCGGCCTTCCCACGCACAGAGCTGCGTCTTTAGCCACCCGGGGACGCTAGATGTCTACGATAAAATCGCAGTCGTGAATATCGCTCCCTATCAAGCCAAATTAGCGCCGGCCGTGATCCCCGACACAAGCCTCTTTCTGCAAATCTCGTCACTAGAGCCTCCACATCAGCAAACATCGGCACCGCCCTGTGTTTCTCAACTGCCCATTCTGGATGACTGGTCCAACCGATCTTGGGGATTTTCCACGCAAGATGCTACAAATGCAAAAGTGGTATTCCGGGTGTTCAGTGCGCTGGCGAGTGAAGACGACGGCCTCGTTGGGACAGCCATCGCGCTACTCAGCAGCCTACGGCGGGTGCTTGGGCCGGGGCGTGAGAGCCTCATTCGCCATCACACGATCCCACTGCTCGGCCGCCTCGGGGACTTTGTCGGCACCGTAACATTCACTTGTATGGTCGCCCGTGTTCGAGAGACACTACGGCCGCCGCCTACCGTCCCTCAACGGCTTGAGCGCCCAAGGTCTACTCTTATTGGAGCCCATCGCGGTAGGTCGATTATGCCGTTGAGCTTGCCTTTCAATATCCGCTTACTATGCAATTTCAACGGCAGGTCTCGGTCAGAACGGAAAGCAACGCACGAACTTGCAAATGGGGGAAAACACGCTTCAGGTACTCCCACACGCCGCATCGACAGCCTTGCTCAACAGTTCCCTCTAGTTTCACTAACTCGATGTCTATAATTAGTCCTTCCTTTCACCCCTCGATTTGGGCGCGGATCTAGTAGAGGTATGTTTGTTCAAGCCCCTCAACCGCCGGTCGTGGTATATGACCCCCAACTACTTGTCCTGATCCCACCGGCTAACCAATGTCGTGTAGTTTGGTATGTTATCGAACTCCAGCTCGAAATATCCCACATGGATATACTACTAATCTTCTCCGTGCCCACGTATTAGATGTACAAGTCACCAAAGATTACGTACCTGTTATCTACCATGACTTCCTCGTAGCGGAATCCGGAACAGACATCGGAATGCACGAAGTCACTTTTGAGCAGGTAAATATCGCCCTCCTTCAACCTTGGGCGCTAGTGAGCCTTCTCTCGTTCCCCAGCTAAAACTAGTCGCAGTTCATGGCAATCAGTAATGCACAATCAGGCGATGGAGCCTGTCCGCCCATCGTATACACGTTCCCCACGCCGCCTCTAGTTGCCGGACATTCGCTTCGGGGTTTCGACCAAATACCAGGAGGTTGGTGTCATCCGCAAACCCCACTATAGCCAAGTGAGGGTGCTCGTCTTTAAGCTGCTTGTATAATGCGGAAATATAGAGGATGAGGAGAACAGGGGAAAGCGGTGAGCCTTGGGGGAGCCCTGCCCAAATTGCCGTCGGTACCGCCGTCTTACCGTCAAAGAGGAGGGTGGCCTCTCGGCCCGTCAACCAGTCTTTTGTCCAGTAAACAAGCCACCTCGGGTAGCCCATTTCTCGCAGTGTTGCCAATAGTCGTGTGTGGTTAACCGTGTCGAAGGCTCCTGAAATGTCCAGTTGCAATAGAGATGCCGCGGCCTTCTGCCTCCATGCCTCCTGGTGGTCTCACAATTACGGAAGTACTCGTCATACATATCTTACTTGACCCGCAAACTGACCGGTATCAACATGTTTTCTCTTTCGCGACAGGTTAGCAGCAACGAAATGCTTCCCACTGTTACACGTGGACGGGTTATGTGGCGGCCATCTTGAAAGAAAGTGAGAGCGCCAGTGTCTGTGTGTGTTACTTGTGGCAAGGGTTTGTTTGTTGGTCGTCGTTTAGCAATATGAGGTTGGCTCGGACAAGGTGGTGACCAACAAGACCTCAATATAGGCCACTGAGTTAATGATGAGCTTGGGATGTAGGATACAATTGGGGCTAGAATCGTTGTCATTGTGTTAACAAACCCACTCTTTCCCCCAGGACGGACAATGAGTCGAGAGAGAGGGCTATTCTTCACAAAGAACGAAAAGAAACTTTGTTCCTAAAATAAAAGAACCAACAATGGCTACATCTTGACTAAGATCAATTTATCAAGCCTGCAAGCACTCAGCGGCGCTCACTATCCCGTCTACATCGGATCCAAGACAGCTTCACAGTTGCGTAGTAAACCCCCATCCTATCTACTGTATTACAGAAAACGAAGTGATGCCACGAGACGAGATTCCGGAGCAGTTCCCAGAGCACGTTTATGAGTACGTTGAAGAGGAGTACGTTGACGAGGAGTATGTTGACGGGAAGGCCACTGACCCTCACCTGATCTTCCCGCCAGAAACAACCGCCCCATTGGAAGCAACAGCCCGCTTGGAAGCAACCCCCTGGGTGATAATAAGCCCCTGGCGAGAAATCACCACTCCGTCGAATACCACCCCCAGCAAACCAACAACCCCAAAACGAAACCCCGGGCGCCCGAAAACCCCCATGCCGAGCCACTGCGGATGTGCATGCCACAAACCGAAACCAGCCCGGCCCTCAGGCCTGAGCGGGATCCTCTATGTCGAACCCACCGGCTTCAACAGATGTGACCTGCCTCGGTGCCTCAACGCGTGGCCCTCGAGCTTACACGTGGAATACCGGTTTCCGCGCCGTGGCGGCTCCTGGCCGCAGTCAGTCCGCTTTCTTACCGCCCGCCAAACTAAGGCACACGCATGTTTGCGGCTGCGTAACTTACCACGCAGTGCGCTCGACTCCCTGCCTGAGCCTGAGCCTGAGCCTGAGCCTGAGCCTGAGCCTGAGCCTGAGCCTGAGCCTGAGCCTGAGCCTGAGCCTGAGCCTGAGCCTGAGCCTGAGCCTGAGCCTGAGCCTGAGCCTGAGCCTGAGCCTGAGCCTGAGCCTGAGCCTGAGCCTGAGCCTGAGCCTGAGCCTGAGCCTGAGCCTGAGCCTGAGCCTGAGCCTGAGCCTGAGCCTGAGCCTGAGCCTGAGCCTGAGCCTGAGCCTGAGCCTGAGCCTGAGCCTGAGCCTGAGCCTGAGCCTGAGCCTGAGCCTGAGCCTGAGCCTGAGCCCGAGCCGGAGCCGGAGCCGGAGCCTAAGCCCGAGCCGGCACCCGCCAAGGCTGCTTAATACGGCTGCGTGGTGTGTTAACTGGGAGGCGTTGGCGTTGCTGTGTTTAGCTGGAGGTGGGCTGTATTTGGTTGGGGGAGCGCGGCAAGTCCTGATGGTGAATCAATCGGATGAGAATGGCGGTACTGATGGCTTGGCTGATTCGAGAGAGCACCAACTTGATTGAGGAGGCATTTTTCTGCATTGATATAGCGGTGGCGGGTTAGAGAGGACAAGGGAGCAACATAACGGACGGTAATGAGAGGATAAGCATTTAGGATATAGAAAAAATGGGGCATGGTAAGGTGCGCAGTTGGAAGAGATATATGTTGTTGGTTGTGATACTGATACCCGGTTAGCTTTAAAATAAATCCATGATGTCTTTTTGCCGATGGAATGAGACCACCATCTTTTATATCTCACCATGGTTCCCGATTCATGTCCTTCCTCCTCCCCAACCCTCAGAGAGCCATGCCACGTTGGCAACGTTGCTTGGCTTTGCAATGAAGGACAACTCCCTGATATGATTCCACCGTTGCTTGACGGTCACACTAGTGGCCAACACTTAAACCTCGGACAAAAGCTGGCAACACCAAAGTGGCAAGGTTATACCCAAAAAATCAGATAAAGAGACGCGAAATGCAACAACCATTGCCAAACTAGACTACAATCTCACCCATCATCCGTCTATGATGAGAAACCGAAACCCAGAGCGATGCGCAACCCGAATGTGACAATAGTACAGGTACGTCCCGCGAAGCCATTAACCAACCCTGCCCGAGATGCGCCGCTTGCTCAACCCCATAACTGCCCCCTCACACCTGTCCCTATGCCAACCCCCATGTCGAACCCCCTTTCGTGCTTGCCCCTATGCAAATATGATCGCGATTTGTTGTCATAGTCCACGTGGGCGTATGGGCTGTGGATAGTTACAGCTTGTCCGCCCATCCGCCCTCCATGTCAATATGAGCGCGCCTATTAGCATGTGATGTTGAGAGTGGCCTTGGAGTTCATGAGCAGCGCGACAATCAGGCCGTAGAGACCTAAGCTGGGTTAGCGTAGTTCGATGCCCTAAAAGCATGGTGACTTACCCAAGACTTCGGCGAAAATGAGAATCAGAATCATGCCGACGAACAGCCTAGGCTGCTGCGCCGTACCGCGCACACCAGCATCACCAACAATGCCGATCGCGAAACCGGCAGCCATACCTGCAAGGCCGACAGCGAGACCGGCGCCGAGCTGAATGAAGCCGGTGTATAGCGCGTAGTTATCCTGTGCGAGGCCGTCGGAAATCAGGACCGAGACGACCAGACCGTAGATACCGATGATACCCGCCATAATGACGGGAACGATGTCTGGAGCAGGGTGTCAGCAATTATTCCCGGATACTCTTCGCACAATTGCGCCGTCGTAAACGCACTCTTGACGATAAGGTCAGGGCGCAGAACACCCATGGCGGCGATGCCGACACCCGATTTGGCTGTGCCGTACGAGGCACCAAGGCAGGTGAAGACGATAGCTGCGGTGCAGCCCATGGCACCGAAGAAGGGCTGTTGTCATGTCAGTACGAGAAGGATTGTAGGTGTTGTTGTGCGTCGGATTCCGAGCTGTGGGATCGCCGTTGGTTGGAGGGCGTTGAAGTCGTCACCGCCAACAAGCTGACGCTCCAACATGGTAAAGGGTGCACTAACCGCGTAAACGGGGCTGCAGAAACGGCATTGTTAGCAATACATCCATTAAGCTACTGGAGCGCGCGTATGCGCCATGAGAGCGTGCGGTTGCAAAACCGCAGACTCGGTTGTTGGCTATTGGGAGTAGGGAAGAGCTCGGCTTGTTTTGAGGGGACGAAGCCGGCCCAGGTAGCGGCTTACCAGTAGTCCGTCATTTTGAAAGTTTGAGCGCGAGCTGTAGCGGGGGAAGAAAGGGCAAATAATTGGAGGCTCGGGGGCGATTGAGGTAGTTGCGCGATGTGCGGTGCGTTGGATGTTGGTGGATGTCGTCGATGGTTGACAGTTCAAGGTTGGAAGTGATTCCAGGTTGCAGGTTGCAGGTTGGTGCAGGTTGGTGCAGGTTGTTGGTTGGCTGTGCCTCAGGAGCTTGCTCGGCGGCATCCCGGCACCCACCTCAGCCACCTCCAATTAGGTAATCCGGGATCCGGTCGAACCAAAGTCCATTCTGCCGCACGAGACCGCCCAAAGTTTCCGTCTAGCAGGCGCCTGTTTTTGCTGCCAGCACCGAGTCAATCTTTTTCGTCGTCCATCACGATCGCAATCTCTCACGCCATCCCACACCATCCCCAGGGCGAGCAAATGCAGTGAACCCTGGCGACAAGTTAATCCCTAACGAATTCTTAATCCTCCAATCCTTATCGACGTCAAGATGTCTGCTGCTCAAAACGAGTCTGCTGCCTGGCCCAAGGCCGAGGACCCCGCGCTCGTGCAGGAATTGCTGGACTGTGTCCAGCAGGCTAGCCACTACCGCCAGCTCAAGAAGGGCGCTGTAAGTTTACCCTTCAAATCAATTATGGTTATGATGGTTACTAACTCGGTTCCAGAACGAAGCGACCAAGTCGTATGTCCACGCTTTCCCCGAACACGATGCGATATCAACTGACTGACGAATCTAGCATTAACCGTGGCACGAGCGAGCTGGTCATCCTCGCCGCTGACACCCAGCCGCTGAGCATTGTGCTCCACATTCCGCTCATCGGCGAGGAGAAGAACGTCCCCTATGTGGTTCGTAACCTCGCCGCATGTAATAAGTTGTGAAATAAAGAAAGCTAATACCCTCGCAGTACGTTCCCAGCAAGGTCGCCCTCGGCCGCGCCTGCGGTGTCTCGCGTGCCGTTATCGCGGTCTCCCTCACGTCGAACGAAGCCTCGGACCTCAACTCGAAGATTCGTGCGCTGCGCGACAAGGTCGAGCGCCTGGCTATGTAAAGAGTTATTGGTTAAGAAGAAGGTCGTTGTGGAGGACGGGTTAGACTGGGTAGCGGATACGCCAGGACGGTGAAACGCCTGAGCGTTTCCGATACCAGGTCGGCTGTGCTGAGCAGAAGTTGGATTGTTGGCAACCCGCTGTAATCTAGCAGGGGCGTTCAGGGAAATACAACTCAAGATCTCCCAGTTTCTCGATTATCGATTCAGGGTTCGGGTTGCGACACGCTTCTGTTTCCTCGATTTCCATTTGGCAATGCAATGCAATCTGACGTGGGGGGGGGCCTGCAGGATGGGCCGGAACCCCACATTCCCAAACATCATCGGTGCCAGGTCAGGTCCCAAGTTGAACGCCAGGTCGGACCCAGCAATGTAGCCCGTCAGAGGTCTTATTAACCGGTTCTGTCTCCCAAAAAAGAGTTACTGTAGCTTCTGCACGTTTATTGTTTTGTCCTGGTTTACGCTTAGTAGACACCCCAATCGGCTGAGCAAACCAAGCGCATTACCACCCCTCCCGAATAGTGACTTTTGGGCATGGTTTAGACCACTTACACAAAGCACACGCCATGCCGGGCCTGGCGCGCAAAGTAATTATCTGCGCTGCCGTCGACGGGCTGATCCTGCACCCGCTCAACTCGCGCAGCAAAGACCAGCCGCGATCCGCCGCCTTTCCCCCCCTCCGCATCAAATACGGCGATGCCTCCATCTCCCCCGCCCCGCGGGACTCGGTGCCCGACCCGGCCTCGCTCCCGCCCAATTCCTCCTTTGAAGCCTTTGGCATCGTCGGTATGCCACCACCCTCCCCCCAAAAATAACCACCCACTAACCACCCACCAACCCCCCCTCGCAGGCCTCGTCACCGTCTTCCACTACAGCTACCTGATCTCCATCACCCGCCGCCAGCAGGTCGCCTCCGTGCGCGGCCTGCCCGTCTACGTCGTCACCGAGGTCGCCCTCACCCCCTGCACGTCGCAGCAGGACGCCGCGCAGGCCATTGCCGCGACCGCGGCCGCGCTGGGGGCGGCGCGGGAGGAGGAGGAGAAGAGTGCTGCTGGTGGGAATGGTGGGGGGAGTGATGGGGAGGGGTTGTCGACGGCTGGGGGGAGTGGGGATGATGAGGCTGGGTTGGAGGTCGGTGGCGGTGGTGGGAGGGTGAGTGTGGAGGTGGGGGATGATGGGGAGGTGGGGAGTGAGACGGAGAGTGCGGCCGCAGCGGCCGGGGTGGCGGCGGCGGCGGCGGCTTCTCATGGGAGGCGGAGCAGTGTTGTGCAGGATGTGATTGGGAGGAAGGGGAGTTATGGCCGGTTTGCGCAGCGCTGGTTTAGTCGGTCGGGATGGGCGATGGATCAGAAGAGGACGATGGGGTTGAGTGCGGGCAATGCGCCGACTCGTGGCGGTGGTAGTGGACATAATAGGGGGGAGAGTAAAGGGGCCGTGCCGGCCAAGTTTGGAATGAGCGTTGACGCCGACGCCGACGCCGACGGTACCGCGGCTGCGATTAGCCTGCTGCCGAAGTTGTTGAGGACGAGTCAGATTTTGTTTGGGTCGAGCAAGACGTTCTACTTTGCTTACGATCAGGACATTACACGCAGCATGGCGAATCCGAAGGTGCCCGAGGCCCCGCTGGTGCCGTTGCATGAGCACGTTGAGCCGATGTATTTCTGGAATCAGAACATCATGCAGCCGTTCATCGATGCCGGGGTGGACAGTCTTGCGCTGCCCCTGATGCAGGGCTTCGTGGGGCAGAGGACGTTTATCGTGGATAATGACCCTCCGCAGGACGACGGCGCCCACAAGGACTCTGTCGAGCTTAGCGACTTCGCCTCGTCCAGGGCGGCGTCGCCATCACCGCCCGAGAAAGCCACAGCTGATATGAGGCCGACGGAGAAGAAGTTCGATCTCACAATCATTTCTCGCCGCTCCGTCAAACGCGCCGGCCTGCGGTATCTTCGTCGCGGAATCGACGAGGAAGGAAACGTCGCTAACTCGGTCGAGTCGGAGCAAATCCTCTCGCCGGCGGACGCGGCGTGGGACCCCAAGGCTAAGGTGTTCTCGTTTGTACAAACGAGAGGGAGCATTCCGCTCTTCTTCACGCAGTCGCCATACTCACTCAAGCCAGTGCCAGTCATGCAGCATTCGCAAGACTCCAATTTTGCGGCATTGAAAAAGCACTTTACAGGCTTGGGCAAGCGGTATGGCTCGGTTCAGGCTGTCAATCTAGTTGAAAAGCGCGGTGTTGAGGCGCCGCTCGCTGAGTTGTATGAAAAGAGCATTCAGCGGCTCAACGATGAGTCTGGGGCAGAGGCGGACAAGGTCAAATTCGAGTGGTTCGATTTTCACGCTGTCTGCCGGGGCATGAAGTTTGAGAATGTCTCGTTTCTCTTGGAGATCCTCGGCGGCCAGTTGGAGAAGTTCGGGAGCTCCGTATCTGTGAACGACCGCTTAGTGGCTCAACAGAAAGGCGTGTTGCGGACGAATTGTATGGACTGTCTCGACCGGACCAATGTTTGCCAGAGCTCGTTTGCCAAGCACATGCTCGACTTGCAACTCAGGGAGCAAGGTTTTGACATGGGCGCACAGGCAGACCAGGAGAATGCCTGGTTCAACACGCTCTGGGCTGATAACGGCGACGCAATCTCCAAACAGTACGCTTCGACAGGCGCTATGAAGGGTGACTACACACGAACGAGGAAGAGGGATTACCGCGGTGCGTTGACTGATGCCGGGCTGTCTCTGACTCGATTATTCAATGGGTACGTTGCTACTGAGCAATTCTTTGCTATCAAAATTTTGCTAATGACTCTCAGCATGTTCAATGATTTCTTCCTCCAAGCCAGCATTGACTTCCTCCTTGGCAACGTCACTTCCCTCGTGTTCGAGGAGTTCGAAGCTACCATGATGACCAAGGACCCGGCTGTATCTATGCAGAACATGCGCCAGCAGGCCATCGAGCTCTGCCAAAAACGGGTCGTTGCCGATGAAGACGAGGAGTTCGTTGGCGGCTGGGCGATGCTCACCCCAAACGTGTCCGACACCGTGCGGAGTGCTTCCTTAGAAGAGGCCGTCCTTCTCCTGACCGACGTGGCGCTCTATCTCTGCCGGTTTGACTGGAATCTCGACAAGGTATCCTCCTTCGAGCGTGTTGACCTGGCCCACATCCAGAAAATCAAGTTCGGCACCTACATCACGTCGACCATTTCCCCCGCCCAGCTCGACGACATGCGCAACGTCGGTTTGGTGGTTGAGTACAAGCCCGGGCTGACTGATATCACCCGCGTCAACACACGTTCGTTGTCCTCCGTGTCTGGCACGACCAAAGCCCAGGGGTCCGACGAGGTTGCCAAGCAAGACGCCGAATCTGCGCCCGCAGCCTCGGGCATCGCCGGATTCCTCAGCCGCCGCCCGCAGACGCCAGCACCACGGAAAATTGCTCTGAAGGCGCTCCACAGCCAGACATCCGCCGCCGATCCCATGGCGAAAAACAAGCAGGACGAGCCGGGCGCTATCACCCGACTGACGGAGATCCAGCAAGTGGTGCTGATCGCGGCAGAGATTGAGAGGCTCGCAATCCAAAACCAGCCGCGGTTGGCCGGTAAGAATAGCGAGGAGAGTGATTTCATCGAGAAGGGTGATATCATTTCCTTGGCGGAAGCGAAGAAAAACACCACCCTTTTTGAACAGCTGGGGCATTCTATCAAGAAGTTGGTGTGGGCGTAAACGGGAGTCTGTTGGATAAAGACATAGCTCGCTCGCTGTATATATCGGGCCACCCGTCAAATCTAGACGATAGATTCTTGGTCATCATCCTCTTGCTGCTGGTACGCATCCTCTGCCCTGTAAAGGTGCATCTGATACCGCATGTTTTCCAGCGGGATCGGGTAATCCAACCCTTCACTGGCCAAGCGAAACCACACCGATTCATGGGATTTAATCTTCACCCACCGGCGCCCGTTCAGGTTCTCGGGCTCGGTGCGAAGCAGAATCTCGTCCAAAAGCCAGTGCATCGGGTAGCGTTTCGCTTCCTTGCCGACTGTTGTTTCAGAGTAGCTACCGGGGCTGTCAACGACGAGCAACAGAGAGCCAAACGGGATGGTGGCGGTGAGGTTGAGTAGGAAGGTGGTCGGTTTACCGATACCACTTGTTGCGAAGAGTTCGTTGAGGGTGAAAAGGATTGTGACGAGGAGAGGAGTGGTGCCAAGAAGGGAAGGAAAGCTGTCTTTGTCGAAAGTGAGGGCGTCTTGTTGGTTGAAGGTTGCCGCGAGGCGGGAGGGGTCAACCATGGCGGCATTGGAGAGTTTCACCGCTTCACTGGCATATTTGGATACCGGGGGAGGTGTGGTCAGGGCCGTGGTGAGTTTAGTGACAATGGCTTCCCAAGGGCCGGAGTCGAGGAGGGCTATAGAGCCCGAGAGTGATGAAGGGTTCTGGTTGAGGAAGGCTCCGAGGGCGACAAGTTCAGCCGCACCACCACCAATGGAGAGAATCTTAAGATGTTGTGATTTTTGTAAATGGGTTGTCGGTGCCGTGCCATCATGTGATAGGAGTTCAAGGTGCTCCTGTATCCTGCCCAACACAGAGGTATAACACAGAGCTCGAGTCGGGCTCCATCGTGCTGCATACACTTCCAAGTACTCCGGATCGCCGAAAGCTTTTCCAAAGTCTCGATCATAAAGGGCCTGCTTCACAGACTGCAAGGTGATGGTGAGGGTCGACGATGTGAGAGTTTCACTAAATGCATGGCGGAAGATGTCTAGGACACGCTGCTGCTGCTTTCGGTCATCGTCCGACAACACCTGTTTGCTGTCTAACTCATCCTGCGTCTCATGGTCCTTGGACAAGGCAGAAACTGCTTGGGCCCTTTTTTGTTGTTGTTTTTTCTTGATTGTAGCGTAATCGTTGACCTTGGGTTTAGGCCGAAAGGAGGCCTTTTTCTTGCCAACCATATTTGGTGTTTGTTTTGTTTGGATATTGCTTGTTTCAGTATCGGGCTCTTCAGCCTCATCTCAAGGTGGAGGTTCAAAAAATTGTAATCTGGAATTAGGCTGAATTCAACTTTGTGTGGTGGAACGAGGCCGATGTTGCGCTCCAAACCCCACTCACGTCGAAAATTTGGTGTCTTGAGTCTTGAGGTTCAGAATAAGTCACATAAATAACCCTAACCCTTAACCACCAGCCTCCATCCGAAGTTCACACTCAGACAGAGCTCCTCGCCGCCCTTGTCTCAAATTATCATGTCGTTTGAGTAAGCGGGAATTTCAACGCCGCAACCGGCGAAGCCCATGGTTTATGACCTCAGTCTGGTTTGGAGGCAAAGATTGCAGCCAATGGCGCTACCCGTCCCCAACATATGGCGCGGGAGTACTTCCTGTGCCCCCGCCATCCATGAAACGCCTCCGCGGCAGGCAAAGGTTCGCATCAAAACTCGCTTTTCGGTTGGGCTGCAAGAGATCTCGAGAGCGGCGTGTCGAACTTCATCGGGAACCCCCAACCCCTCATGTTGCGGCTTGGCAGCCGAGGAAAAGCCCGCACTGATAGGTGACCCCAAGTCGAGCGCTTCACCGCGGAGATGGGGCGCTGAGTGAGCGAACCTCAGTTTACATGATGCTTGGTCAATGTTCACGCATTGATTGGTATTACGCGTTGTCATGGACCGTGGCAACATACTGGAACCTCCCGGATGTGCCGTTCGCCAACTGTTTCACCACCGATTCCTGCGGTCCCTGCAGATATGTAAGAATTTTACAGCCCTTACCAAGGAGCCAAGTAAGAGCTCGCTCCTCTTTGTGGCACAGCGATGGAGACGAGGAGACGAGCATCGCATCCGGGGATCGGCTCTTGGGTAACGTCACTCGGTCCTCGACGTCAGGTGCCCCGCTGTACTCCGGTGATAGGAAAACAGAGTGCCATCATTGGAAGTAGCAGGGGCACAGGGGCAAAACAAAGTAAAGAACCCAGAGCAGACGGGGCGGGCATGAACCGGTCAAGCTCAGCCCGAGTTTCGATAACTCCACCATGGCATTCATCCGGGCGAACCAGAAGCCTCACGGCAGCTCGCTGTTTCCCAACACTGGGCATGGGCTTACCCCACTTGCCTGATCCATGAGGGTGTCGATACCCCCAAACGCGGCGGCAGGGCGGGTTCCTGGGACACCACATACATAAAACTAACACCCCACCTTCCTCCATCTCCCACCTTCTCCCCTTCGCATCCTCTCCCACGACTCTGCAACAGCAGTGAATTTGACCCTTTCGTACGCCTGATTAACCTATAAATCCGCGAACATGGGTTACACCGACGTCGACAACCTCGCGATCAACACGATCCGCGTGCTGGCCGTAAGCTGCTGCCCCTCCCAACAAAAAAAAGAACCCCGCCCCCGCCAAACGGCGCGTCTCGCTACCCCACCATTGAGCGAAGATGAGAGCTGTTTTCGGGCGCTCACGGCGTCGTATGGTGATAATATTGTCAGAATGAGCAGTCACTCACAGATTCCTTTCTCTACAGGCCGATGCGACCGCCCACGCCAACTCGGGCCACCCGGGTGCCCCAATGTAGGCTCCTCGACATCAGGAACTGGCTTGGCCGCCGATTCCGGACCAGAAATCGCTAACACTAGACAGGGGCATGGCACCCGTTGCCCACGTCCTCTTCAACCGTTTCTTGCGGTTCAACCCTAAGAACCCCCAGTGGCTCAACCGGGATCGCTTTGTCCTGTCGTAAGTCGCCTAGGCTCGGCTGTCTTGGGGATGGGATTGGCTCACACAACCACTCTCTTAGCAACGGGCATGGCTGCATGCTCCAATATGCTCTCCTCCACCTTTACGGCTATGCCGTCTCTCTGGATGACCTGAAGGCGTTCCGGGTAAGATCCCGCAGTTGCCCACATTCCGGCGCGCCATGTCCTCTAACACGGGTTTTAGACTGTTGACAGCATCACCCCCGGCCACCCCGAGGCGCACGACACCCCCGGCGTGGAGGTCACCACCGGCCCGCTCGGCCAGGGTATCAGCAATGCCGTCGGTCTTGCTATGGCCCAGGCGCACACCGCTGCCGTCTTCAACAAGCCGGGGTTTGACCTGGTTGACAACTATACCTACGCCTTCCTTGGTGACGGTTGCTTGATGGAGGGTGTCTCGTCCGAGGCCTGCTCGCTGGCTGGCCACCTCCAGCTTGGCAACCTGATTGCCGTCTGGGACGACAACAAGATCACCATTGATGGGGACACCAACCAGGCTTTCACTGAGGACGTTATGAAGCGGTACGAGTCGTACGGCTGGCACGTCCTGACGGTCGAGAACGGCGATAGCGATCTCGCTGGCATCGAGGCCGCCATCAAGAAGGCCCAGGAGGTCAAGGACAAGCCCACCCTTATCCAGCTCAAGACCATCATTGGCTTTGGCTCGAAGCAGCAGGGCACCCACGGTGTCCACGGCTCTCCCCTCAAGGCCGACGACATCAAGCAGCTGAAGGAGAAGTTCGGCTTCAACCCTGAGCAGAGCTTTGTCGTCCCCCAGGAGGTGTACGACCTCTGCAACAAGGCGGCCAGCTCCGGTGCCGCCCACGAGGAGGAGTGGAACAAGCTGTTCGCCAAGTACGCCGAGCAGTACAAGGCTGAGCACGCCGACCTGGCCCGCCGCCTGAAGGGTGACCTTCCTGAGGGCTGGGAGAAGCACCTCCCCACCTACACCCCCGCCGACCCTGCCGTTGCGTCCAGGAAGCTCTCCGAGACCGTCATCAACAAGATCTTTGACGCCATCCCCGAGCTTGTCGGTGGTTCCGCTGACTTGACTGGCTCCAACCTGACCCGGTGGAAGGGAGCCATTGACTACCAGCCCCCCTCGACTGGCCTCGGCACCTATGCCGGCCGGTATATCCGCTTCGGTGTGCGCGAGCACGGCATGGGCGCCATCATGAACGGCATGGCCGCCTACGGCACCGTCATCCCCTACGGCGGTACTTTCCTCAACTTCGTCTCCTACGCTGCCGGCGCCGTCCGTCTTTCTTCTCTCTCCCGGGTTCGCGTCTTGTGGATTGCGACACACGACTCGATCGGCCTCGGCGAGGACGGCCCTACTCACCAGCCTATTGAGACCCTTGCCCACTTCCGCGCCCTGCCCAACTGCATGGTTTGGCGCCCGGCGGACGGCAACGAGACCAGCGCTGCTTACTACGTGTCTCTCGTTTCCAAGCACACTCCCAGCATCATGGCGCTCTCGCGCCAGAACCTGCCGCAGCTCGAGGGCTCTGTCATTGACAAGGCTATCAAGGGCGGCTACGTCCTCCATGAGCAGGAGGGCGCTGACATCACCCTGGTGTCGACTGGCTCCGAGGTGTGCATCTGCGTTGACGCTGTCAAGGAGTTGGCCGAGAAGCACAACATCAAGGCCCGCGTTGTCTCGATGCCCTGCTTCGAGGTGTTCGACACCCAGTCCAAGGAGTACCGTCTCAGCGTTCTCCCCGACGGCATCCCGTCGCTGTCGGTTGAGGTCATGAGCACCATGGGCTGGGAGAGGTACACTCACGAGCAGTTTGGCCTCAACCGCTTCGGTGCCTCGGGTCCTTACAAGGATGTGTACAAGGCAAGTTACACCGACCCCTCTGTTGTATCACTCCATGTCATTCAATGCTAACGTTTTTGCTTTCAACAGAAGTTCGAGTTCACCCCTGAGGGCATTGCCAAGCGGGCGGTCGCTACCGTCAACTTCTGGAAGGATGTGCCCAACATCCGCTCGCCCATCAACCGCGCGTTCCAGCAGATCCTCTAAACGGGGCGTGATAATTGGAGGGGCGAGGTAATGAAGGGCAGAAAACGAGTGGGGATACAAAGCGATAGACGCGTTGCCTTGGGAAAGAGGTGAAGAAGGACGAGGCCCGATACACGGAGCCATGAACAGAGTTGTGCCTGGTGTTGTCGAAATAGGTTATGAACGCCCACCCTATGATATTGGAAGCAATAGACTTCTGCGTTACCAATGTCTCGTTCCAATTCCCGTAAGAATGCTGTGTGTGCTGCGGTGGTAGGTTGTTGGTACGAGCACGAAGTACCCCTATGGCTACTAGACAGGGGTCTTGGAAACGCACAGGGCAAACAAGCAGCTGTTGTGGGGGGTTTGTTGGGTATCCCTGTCGTTCCTGCGGCGGGCTTGGAAGTTGGAACTGCCACCTCGCATGTGCGACAGACGGGCAACCTGCATCCCCGGAAACACGACACTGATACAAACAAATTGTCAAGTCGACATCCAATTCCGTCTTACAGAAAGTTGTTTTTGTGATTCGTTTGCCATCGAAACTGCCTGATTCAGTAAACTGTACAACCCCCACCATGGACGAAGAAAAGGCCAAGGCCGAGAAGATGGCTGCGGCCAAGAAGAAGGTATTCTCACCATCTGTTGAATCGACATGGTTGTATACTTACTAAATATGACAATGGACAGTTCGACCAAATGCGAAAAGCCAAAGCCAAAAAGGCCGGAGGTGGCGGCAAGAAAGGGGGTGAGGCTGCGATCCCCGCCCCCGCCACCGAAGAGACCCCCTCCTCGCCAGCAACCCCGACTGCCACCGATGCGCCCGAGAAGGAAGACAAAGAAGGACAGCAGGAGCAGGAAAAGCTCACCGAGGCGTTCCCCTCCGTCCCGGAAGACACCGCCGCCGAACCGGTCTCCACGTCCACCACACCCTCGCTGTCGCAACAGTCCAAGGCGCGGTCGACCTCGTTCAGACAGGGGTCGGTATCCATTTCCAGCGGCGCCCCGCTATCTCCCGGCGCCGGCACGGGGCTGGGCCTGTTCAGCCCCGAGGGCGAGACCGCGCCGGATATCTACCGGAAGCATGTGCTGCGGATCGAGGAGCTCGAGAGGGAGAACAAGACGCTGGCGAAGGATGCCAAGGATGCAGAGAAGCGATGGCAGAAGGCAGAGGAGGAGTTGGCGGATCTGAGAGAGGGCGAGGGTGAAAGTACCGCTGCTGGGGAGGGGGCCGGTGAGGTCGGGAAGTTGGTAAGTCTACGTTGTTTGAGACCAAATCAAGATCGCCAACTGACACAACACAACAACAGAAAAGCGAGCTCGCCGCCCTCCAGCGCCAAAACGCCCAGCTCCAAGCCCAACTCACCCGCCGTCACGGTGCCTCCCCCTCCCTCTCCATGAACTCCCCGCCCGCCACAACCGAGCTTGAGGCCCAGCTCAGCAGCAAATCCGCCACCATCGAAACGATGGAACTCGAAATGTCACGCCTCCGCGCCCAAGTTGAGCGGCTCTCCGTCTCCGCCTCAACCCCTTCCGAACAAATCACGGCCCTCGAAGAAAAACTCGCACGCGCGGAGCAGGCCGCCGGGCTCGCGCAGCGCGAGCTGCACGACGTCAAGGCGGAGCTGGAGCAGGCGTCCAAGAAGGCGGTCAAGGAGGGCTCGGAGCGGGCATCGGCCGAGACCAAGCTGCGCTCGCTGGAGCAGACCGCCGCCGAGGCCACCGCCGCGCGCGACGACCTCGCCCGCAAGGCCGACGCCCTCGAGAAGAAGGCCGCCACGCTCACCACGCTGCACCGCGAGCAGGACGGCCGCACCCAGGCGCTGCGCAGGGAGAAGGAGCGCGCGGAGAAGGAAGTCGTGGATCTGCGGGGGAAGCTGGAGAGGGTGGAGGCGGAGAATGTGAGGTTGAGGAAGAAGGATGCTGCCGAGGGGGGTGGGGATGATGAGGGGGTGGATGAGCTGGAGGATGAGGGCCGGTTGAGGCTAGAGCGGAGGATCAGGGAACTGGAGGCGGAGAATACGGAGCTGAGGGGCGGGATTTGGAGGGAGAAGAGGCGCGAGATGCAGGTCGGGCCTGATGAGGCTGCTGCTGCTGCGGGAGGGAGGTTTGAGACGGTGGATCTAGGTGGTGGGATGGGATCGCCGCCGAGGAAAGGCGGGGCTGGGTTGGGTGATTTCTTCACAAGTGGGTTGAATGCGTTGACGGGCGCTGCTGGCGGCGGGCCTGGGGGACATGGGCATCATGGGCATGATGACGGGTTGTTGGAGGACGATGATATGGAGTTTGATGAGGAAGCGTTCCGGAGGGCGCAGGAGGAGGAACAGAAGAAGAGGATCGAGAGGATCAAGGAGATCAAGCGGTCGTTGAAGAACTGGGAGGGATGGAGGCTGGATCTGGTGGAGAACCGGAGGGGTGGGGGGGAAGGGATTGGGGAGATCTTTGAGATTTGAGGTTTATGTGTTTGAGTGCTTAGTCGGGGGAAGTGGGTGGGCGTTGGAGGTTAGAGTGATTGTTGTTGTTGTTAGAAAGAATACCATCTCATTATGTGCTTTGGCAGGCAAGCAAACTTGGCGTGCGCTTGCGGCAGTGATTGTCTGTTTGGCTTGTCTTTGTGGTAAGTGAGTTGCAATCTATCAACCCGATACTTAATAAGCTGACTGTCGGCTGGGAAAAGTATTTGTGTGCAGCAAACGGTCAATCAATATGGTGTTCAAACCGTTCGGAAGCCACTTACTTCAGTTGTGATTGTTACAAAAAAGCGCGTTGCTTGCCCTGATTGTTATGACTAGAAAGAATATTTGTGTCTGACAAACAGCACTCACTTTTATGTTAGACATTTGGCAGTTACCAGCAGTCATCTCATTTGTGGTGGTGAGTAAAGAAGGCCCTTGTTTGTTGTTGTATTGTCAAGGGGACAGCTTCGTATCAAATTCTCCAACTCCCTTCCGATGGTCTATAAGTTTAGTTGCTACCCCATCACTCAGCATCCAGGGTCAACCTTATGATCAATTTGTCACGTCCCCCAACACTCCATTCCTTAGGTATCCATCACCCGCCCCGGGGATAACGACCATCCAGAAGAACACCACTCAGCTCATGAAGAGATGGGAACCCGACCGTGGCCCGGCTACCCAGGCCAGTCTGAGCTCGATCGCCTAGAGACTATGGCCGACTCGCGATGGCTCGGAGAAGATGATGACCTACTCGGCGCTACTTACGAGATGGTTCTCCAGAACGCCATGAGTTCGGTTCCGCTTCTCGAGAAAATCGGGCGCGACGCAAGCTTTGGCATCGACCGTTTCGGCCGTCTCCGCTGCATCCACCAACACGAGGAGAATTACAACGGGTTCTTTTGCGATCTGGTAGCCAAAATTCAGCAGCGGTTGGAACGCAAGGCAGCACTCCAGAAAGCTAGGGTGACCATCACAGAAAAGGTGGACAAGTTCTGGGACATGGTCCTCCTCAACCCCCCCAAGAACGGACAACCGCATCCTGGAAAATTGCGGACACTGTACAATGTGATGGCAGACAACATCTACGTGCCCGACTTCAATCTCCTGCACCTCCACGCAATTCTTTCACGATGCCAGCCGGCCCTCTGGGAGGTATCGCAATTCGGAACCTTGACCAGCGCGGTGCGCCAGGACCTCGAGAAAGGAAGAACACCCCGACGATGGGATCAGCTGTCCAAGTTACGGGAGCTCTTGGGGGTGTTGGATTCTGGTAAGTTGGAGAGGGCGCGGGAAGAAGGTACCGACAAGGTCCTCATGGTGCTCGAGCGCGACTGGGAGACCGTTGGGCCAATGTATGACTGCATTAAAACTCTGAAGAGCGACCTCGAAGCCGCCATCAAAGAGATTCATAAACCTTGGTGCGGCCTGAGCGACGACGAGTCGAGAGACGGTGCTGCCAACAACTGAGGTGTGGGGAAGGATGAGCAAACTGAGGCTGGCAGTGTAGGAACGGCGTCAACGAGGCGCGGCAGGGAAGGGGGTTCGGGGTGGGAAAGCAAGGCGGTTGGTGATGGTAATGATGGGACGACCTGGGTTTTTTGATGGATTGGATTTGTGTTATTTCCTTGATATGGCGTTGTTGGCAAATTCATGACTGGAGGGTAATGGCAAATGGCAATAATATCATCGTGTTTTCCTAACTGTTTCCCTGAAGTGAGTTCCCATATTGAACGATATTGACTGTGAGTTTGCTCCTTTCTTCTACCCACTCCCACTCTTAATCTTCTGGTCAAAAACAGCTCCTTCCTTGGCTGCTCCTCTTCCACGGCTCATATTCCTCTTACCAACGACCACTTGATCCTCTTCAAACCACTGCTTCTCCTCCTACCATCCACTTTCCGGCTAGGTAGTAATCTCACTCGGTATTGCAGGCTCGAAAACGTAAGTAATTCTATGATTATATTGCTTGCCCTGTTTCCTCTTTCTTCCTCCTTGAAACCTTCCCTTATACACCTCTTTCCTTTCCAACCCCCCGGCCCCCCCCCCCCCCCCCCCTCAACTGCTGGGAGAGAAAACCATTCATTTCCATCGCCT